ATTATTACTCTCCTCTCTGTCATATTTTCATAATCCCCCTTACTTTTCTGCCCGTCTTCCACTGCACCACATTTCGAAAGACACGCCGTGCCATTTTCATTCTTCAGCAGGCATGCCAAATCAAAACTTGATTGTCATGGCTTTATTTCGAAATTAGTTTAATTTTTGTTTCTTTTTATAAAACAGAAGACTTTTTTTTTTGCTGCGTATTGTTGTGCTGTTCATTAAGGGGTTATACCCCGAAACACAAAATTAGCATCTGTAAATAAGAGCGCATATAAAGAGTGACTGCGTGTTCATTCCTTCAGTGAAATGGCTGTCGTGGGTCAGCAGTGTGGATGGACACATGTTGTTTGACTGCTCTCTCAGCCAGCACTGCTGTGATGATGGGCTTAATGAAGCAGTTAACAGTGCGAATATGATCCCTGTGTGTCTGCTCAGCATGCGCATCCTGCAGTGTCAACACGGCTCCGCTTGTTATTTTTTCTTTTCTCTTTTAATCGACACACACACATTTACCTTGCCCCCTACTGTGCTGTGGCTCGGTGATATTAATGTTTATGTTAATTAGATCACACCGACAAAGGATTACATTCTCAGACAGGGGTTATTGTAAGTCTGTAGCCACTAGCTTATTTGGCCCTCGTGAATGCAATTTAGAGCCAGTGTAATTGTATGAATGCATTGTAATTGCATGAGGAAATAACAATATGAATATACAATGTCTGTGTGCGTGGAAGGAGGAACGAATTGCTTCTGGACTATTTTGCTTGGCTTTTTGCAGGAGTTTCTGTCTTACATGGAGTCGCACCGACAAAGGGGCAACAGCATGTTTGAGAATAGGAAGACAAATCACTTACAGGTTTGAAGAAAATACTTTTGAGAATGTATTTTTGAAAGAACAAAGCCATTGATTTGTATTTGCCATCCCGGTGTTCTTGTCCTTTTTTTGCCGCCCAGTTACGAGCCAGTGAGTGGGATCGGGTCAACTCTCAATGGCTGCTTGCAGAGGCAGAGCTGTTGAGGGAGAGGGCCGTGTTTGGCCCGAGTCCGGGCGTGCTGCTAAGCCATAACTGGGTGCAAGGTGCTGCCGAAGGACCTAACCGCACTCGACTACGTATCCGAAGAAAGGAACTGAGACTATCCAGACGGGTACAGTAATAACTGGAAAAGCCAATTTCTGCATACGTCCCACCGGGATACTTTGGATTGATAGTTGCTTGTCTGCAGTATCCGCCACTTTTTTTTCATGACAGGCCAGAATTTGATTCAGAACATGTTCTTAGAAAACTTTACCCCAGTAAGTATTGCTGTAACTGTGCAGTGTATTCACACAGCAACATGGCTCATCACCAGCGTCGGGTGTGTTATACAAAATAGTAACAGGACAACAACAATTGCTTTCATCACAATAGTGCAAGAGAAGTGTGAATTGTCCCAGCAAATGTCCCATTACACAAAGACGATGTTCCGCCTCTGTTACGGCTCTGAGAACATCGCTGACGGCAGAACATCACCCCGTTCAGTGTCAGCAGTATTTGGATAGAAGGGTGACCTGGAAAAGGATGAAAAAAAAATAACAGTGCAAAAGTAATATAGAATGTGATGATATTTATGAAGGTGCAAGGAGCTCTGTGTCTGGGTTCGAAGAAGGTTGCCTCTGCAGAAAGCAAAAACAAAATAGATGCCGACACAGGTAAAACAAACAGACACATAATGATTATTATTTTTTATTTTTTTTGCTCAGTGTCAGGACAAGTCATGTTTTCCTTTTGTACCAGAGCCAAAGATTCTATGCGAAATTGGCGCCGAGGCTCAAGAGGAAGATGAGGATGGAGGACGGGCTTGTGATCAGCTGACCTTTTTTCCTGTTTTGAATGAAGCACCTTCTGCCTTTGAAGACCACGTGGAGCCCTTCACCTTGGAGCCTTGCTCCCATGTGCAAACCTGCACTGACATTCGCGTCATCCTGCAGGAGCTGGATGATGGAGAGCAGGTACTGTGGCGCGAGAGTCTGTGCTGCGCTGGCCAAGTTCGCTATCATAATAATTATCAGTAGTAGACTGAGGGACTCCGACAGCTCGATGCCGCTATCAGGATTTCATTTTTCCTCATTAGTGTTAGGCCCAGCTCAGCTCTTTTCATTCTTCCACTGAGTTAGACGGCACATGTTGACAGGGATTCTCTTTGCTCCGGCAACCAGCCGCGCCTTTTAATGTTTCTGACAGATGTATTAATAAAAACAGTAGGAGGTGATGCAAGCTGTCTTATATCTGCTTAGTAAGTGCGTGATCTGCGTAGTTCTCTCGCAGTGGTTCAAGTGTGTGAGTCCTGCTGAGCGTCCTGTCAAATGAACACAGTCATTAGCTTTGAGAAATGCACACGCACACACCGATACAGATTAACACACAGCGCGGACAGTAACACACAAAAGCAGACCCACGCATAATTAGCTTTCCAGCGCCAATAGTGTGATTATGACGCTAATGTGTGTGGGGAGAAATCAATGGTCTGACATTAAGCTCTGTCAATAAAGTCCTTCTTTTCTCTCCTTCCAATCAGCAGCTAAATCTCTCTCCGACTCATAATGCACATCTGTCCCTTGCACAATACGCGGATAAGGAAACAAGTTTATTGTTATGTATTTAGGCGTTGATGATAATAATTCTAGCTACTTTTTCTGAAATCTGGTAATTATGGGGGCCAATTGTGTGGATTGCAGCTTGTGTTCGCGAATGGAAATTGCCATTTAATCTAACTATGGGTAAAAATGATGTGCCATGTGCGGAGTCTCTCTTTGACTCTTAAAGGCTTGCACGTGACACGATTCATCATAGCACGTACGTTTGTGTGCATTCAGACAAGAGGCTCTGATCGTTTAGCAGGTTGCCTATTGTGTATGTGACAGTGATTAATTCCCCTAATAATGGCCAGGAAAGACCTCCTCCCCCTTCACAAGTGTGACTCTTATGTCTGGGGGGGGTAGGGAGTCTGATTTGATTAGTATAAATTGTGAGGGGCCTGCAGCTATGTTGGGGCCCCATATGGTTTTGGGGCTCTGTGTCCCAGAGGAGCCAACACAGGGGGCCAGCCAGGTGTGCACACTCACTGTGAAATGAGGGGAGAGACAATAGAATTACACACATTAACACTTAGCAGTTAGCATTAGCTCCAACCAGGCCTGAAAGACACATGTGGGTCTTTTTTGATGTTGAATAAAGATGCTGGAAAAGGGACCAGGACTTCTCCTCCCCATCAATCAGCTCCTATAATGAAGTGCTCAACGGTGTCTTTTTAATAATGATTAAAATATGTGATTAAAATGATCAATCAAGTGTTGGCTATATATGCAATGTGGACATCACAGTGTGCTTCAATTAATCTCTTGCTTAGGTCAAAGCAAAGATGTCTGTTGTAATGGTGAGCGGCCTCCGAGTGACTGAGGGGGTGCTGCTCTTTGCCCAAGACAGTCTGCTCTTGTGCGAAGGGTTCACCCTGTCTCCGTCTGGAGACGTTTGTTGCACGAAGCACCACCCCAGCAGGTACGATTGTGCGGTTTATACATTTGAATTGCACAAAAACACTTGTCCGGTTGATTTCGCCTTATTCAGCCTCAGAATTCTTTCTCCAGTGTGAGGGATTCCTTCATCTCCAGCATGCTGACTAAGGAGTCAACGTCAAGCTGCAGGCAATGGCTCTACGAGGACATCAAGGAGGCCCGATTCATGCGGTTCTTGTTAGAGGTTAAACATCCCTTACTAGCTACAAGAAAAATGAATACATTTACACAAGTAATGTTTTTGTGTAGTTTGTTTGTTTTACATGTTTTGCTTTAATTTGTTTAACATGCTCGTCCATAAATAAGAGGCAGTTTACAATTCTCAAGATTTTTGTTTGAATGAGGTTAACTTGAAAAGTCATATTAATCAATACACTACAAAATGCACTAGTTTGTTTGTTTTACATGTTTTGCTTTAATTTGTTTAACATGCTCGTCCATAAATAAGAGGCAGTTTACAATTCTCAAGATTTTTGTTTGAATGAGGTTAACTTGAAAAGTCATATTAATCAATACACTACAAAATGCACTTTTTTTTTTTTTTTGCTAAAATTACACATAAAAAGTCTTTTTGAGGAAGAAAAGTTGTTCCGATTGTGCACAAACCACGTACCACAAAATGTACCAAACCATGGCCCAAAAAAGAAACGAGACACAGACCGTACCGTGGGTTACCTGAACTGTCCCAACACTCCTATGTCACTTGGTTTTATATACAGTACCCATTTTGTCAAGTTAAGGACAAAAAGCAAAACAAACTGTGTGACAGATTTAATGACATGCAAAATGAAACATTAACACCAATATTTTGTTTGGTTTGGAAATGAAGACTACAGACAAGTGCAACTGTTGCATGTGGCTGGAGTGCAAGGCAGTTTCACTTCTTGTCCCTTACCTAGTATGTTCTGTGTGAGACTTTTGATTCTTATAAGTTATACTGAATCAGTTTGTCTTCATCATTGATTTGATGCATGTGTTGATGGTTTAAGTTTTTTGGTTTGTTACCTGTGGAGCCATCAGATTTCTTATTTGGGTCAGCTGAAAGTTCGGTACACACAACTTTAGATGTTGAGGTTAGATAAAACATTTAATATGCAAAACATGCAGGAGTGTACATTCTATCTGCCGTCACAGATCTTAAAGTTGAAATGCCGTTAAAATTCGTGCCTGGTAATGTTACAGTAAGCTAAAACACTGTCTTCTTTCATAGGATAATGCTATTGAGGTCTTCGTGAAAAACGGCCACTCAGCATTCTTGGTGTTCATAAATAAAGACCATGTCTCTGCATACAAACGGTAAAAAGACTTCTCTGAATGATGGATGTCAAATCTCTTGACGATTGATACCTTGATCCAAAATCTGTCTTGCAGGTTGTGCAAGGTGGTTTCATCCTTGAAAGGCAGAGGTGTTGCCGATGTCATCGCAAATGCAAGGTAGTCAATAAACAGCGATTTATTGACACAGCAAATGCTTTCGGACTTGTACTGGTCAAAACATATCAAATATTGCTTTCGAAAGACTGATAGTGTTCGAGGTTCTTAGCTCTCCACACATCCTGATTGACCGCAGCCACCGAGTTTGGTGTTACGAGTCCCGAGTAAGACCTTTTGTCCTCATACTTCTTCCTCACACAATCCCCTCTCAAATGCCGTCCTCCTGGGTCTTTACATATTTTCAGGCACATATTACACAGTCTACTCTCGTGGACGAGGTACACACCATCCTCCTCGTCTGACTTTTCAGTTTCCATTTCCTCACCGGCCTGCTTCACTTGCAGCAATGGGTTTCGTTTTATGTTCAGTTTAGTCAGATTGTGGAGGGCTTTCACAAAGTCTGGGAGGATGGTAAAGAGGTTGTCAAACAAGCCTAACTCTTGGAGGCTCTCCTGAGGGACCATAGTTGGAAGCAGGGCATCCAGCTTGTTCAAACCCAGATTGAGACTCGTCAGGTTTGTAAGAGAGCCCAGCGTCGTGGGCAAACCTGACGAGGTGAGACGATTATTACAGAGGTTGAGATAGGTCAGGTCCACCAGTTTACCGATGGACTCGGGCACAGATTCCAGCTTGTTGCTATGCAGGTCCAGCCACTTGAGCGATGACAACTTCCCGATACCCTCTGGGATTTTTTGAATCTGGTTGCGGCTGAGATCCAACTCATCCATGTTGGTTAGTTTGAGGATACACTGCGGGAAAATAGTAATGCCCATGTTGCTTAGTGTGAGCCGGCGCCACCCGTCGGGTTTCATCCGTATGGCCTTTTTGGCATCCTTGAGTGTCACCTTTGTCCCTGTGTTTCCTTTCCTTTTGGTCATGGTGCTGCGACACACACAGGACATAACCACATGATTTATCTCACATTTTTAGACTTATTCCTACATGTATAGTGAATACATTTGCAGTATGTGTTCATGTGTGATTGCGCACAGCTTATGTGATTTATTCCCACAGTAAAAAAGGATCATGTATAACCGGGGGCAAGAGGAAAAGCATTCTCTCGGAGGAATTAAGAGCTTGTATGACTGTGTACGGGCAGCAGCATTATGTTTGAACCAGTGCGCACTCACCCGGTGTTGCCCTCGGGGGTATTTAAGAGCACGACTCGCTAATTAAGGCTAATGCAGGGGAACAACCGCAGAGAGGCGACACTGGGTAATGCAGCAAAAACAAATGAGTACTGTTGCGCCATCACTGACTGTGTTTGTTTGGCCAGGAAGGATAGCGTTTGTTTATTTGGAGTGCTTAAGACATGTAAGTGTCATGGTATACATGACTTCACTGTCCTAAAGTGGATGTACATGAGTGAAGAGTCAAATCAGGACTTTGATAAATGATAGTTATGGGATATTAGGAATGTGATGAAGGCTTGACTCTTCCCCCCGCCCTGTCTAAGAGAGCAAGGTACGCGTGTGTTTGTGTCTGTGATACACCCCAAGGCCCTCTCTCGCCTCATTCATCATCTTCAGGATGAGAGGGGCTATCCAATGGTGCTTGTTCTATTATAACCTCCTATAGAAAACTATTGCATGAAATTATTGCCTGCAATTAGATAACACATACTGGGCCAAAGTCAATGATTGATTTAGTGCGGGCTTACAAAATAATTTGTTCAAGGTTTATTGGATGAAGCGAGGACTTGTATCTGTTCTATTGTACTTGACTATTATCAACACAAATGAATCTATTTACTCACCATAGTCTTGTATTCCCAATTCTGATTTAACAAAGTGGTGATAGTCTTCCGTTTTAAAAGCCTACCAACAGCATCAGACCCTGTGCCCAAAAAAAAAAAGAAACGCGATTGAGGCCATAGTAACAAGCTAGTTGTCAGCATGTAGACAATGTACTGAAGTAATACCTGGTAAGTGTAATCCTCAAAGTTGAGAAGAAAGCTCGGGAATGCAATGTTTCCTTTCTTGCACACGGCAAATCCAAGTTTCCTCTTGTTTGGCATTGTAACTTAGCAACGCGGGGTCCTTGGCAGCAGGACGGGATTTGTCTCGTTGCAGGCCCGTAGAGTGGGTGGGGAAGCAAATTTCAGGAGCAAATGAATGCTCTCCTAATTTAAATTAAACAACTTGGATCGATAGTGTTGTGCGAGTAAATTATGAAATGTTCATTACAATCTAACATAGATATGCATGCTCTCGTAGATTAACCATCAAAGTGGAAGTAATGGAAACAATTATACACTGTCAGTGATCACTTAGTTATATATAGTCTTTAACTAGAAGCCTAATATAACACTAAGCAATTAAATATAATCTATCCTGGAATATAAATGTCACTGCATTTGGAATATTGAATTGTAGCGCCTTGCAGTAACCGCGTTGTGCCGTGCCTGTTAAAGTCTGCAGTTGCTTTTCGTAAGCGAAAAAATGACGCCTCTATCAATCACGCAACCCGCCCGTCCATCTGTGCTATCTGGCAGTGACTGGTTTTGCCTTGTTCCTTCTTCCCTATCCTTCGGTTGGAGTTTATGGCAGCAGCTTGTTTAAAAAACAAAATCCACCCGGCTTTATATGTCTCGATATTTTCTGGTCACATCCACTCACGTTGGAATGGTGGCGTTACGGAAGTTTGAAAATGCAAGGACGCCGTTCGTGTATATTTCCGGAACCGTACGGAATGTTCAAGTATGGTAATTCCAATCCATAGATCGATTACAGTCATGTGACGTAATTAAAACGCGTCGTCACCGAAAGCGATGGCGTCACCCAAGACGTCTCAAACGCCGCTGGTAATCGCATCGGTGCTCTACTTATTGATGTGTTAACGGGTTTTTTTACTGTTAGCATCAGTATAAATTGGATTTCACAAATAAACCAACTTTTTCAACCCAAGATTTGCCGATTTTTATTTACTGGACGAGTCAACAGCAAATCAGAAAGAGTTGAACTGCTTTCATCCACCGATTGACGCCATGGTTGAGATGCATGGCCGCTTTCTTACGCATAACAAACATAAATAGCACGAACTTTGAATATGTTATTAATGTATTCACCACTTGACCACTGTTAATGTTCTTTTTAACAATAGGTTTAATCCAGGTTCATATATTAAAACTTGTTGGAACTTATATATGAAGGACCCTTAGAGCATTTTATATGATGTTTAAAAAAAGGTTATGAGTCATTCCGCACCCAATTGAGACCAAATTTATAGTTCTTCAAGATAAAAGCTTGATATTAATGAAAAAACCTGTGCAGTGATAATTTGTTTGCTTCATAAGTCATTTCAAATGTGTTGTTCCAATTAGCTTTTCTTACTTGATTTGGTGAAAATGTTAATTTCAAGAACTTCACAACTTCAGTTAAATCAAGTCATCTTTTTTTTTTTTTACCCATAACAGGGTCATTAACAAATACAGTACTGTACTTAGTAAATGGTACTGAGAGGAAACTGATAAATCCCTGGAACAGGACAAAACACATGTAGCCTCCTGCGCTGATGGCTTGGTTAACTTGAGTAACTGATATTGAGCTTTGAGGGTCGGGGTAAAAAAGAAATTAAAATAATAAGATAACTGCTAATTTGACTACTGCGAATATCAAAAGTACTGTTGCTGCATCGCTAGAGAGGAAGGGAAATTGACCCACAGGAGAGCCAGAGAAACACGGTAAGACTGAACAGCTGCGGTTTAAAAACAAGTCACTTCTGCTGTGCTACAGTTCCGGTTGCTTGGAAACAAGTATAACAAAAATGTGGTGAAAAATCCTTTGGCTGTGGTGTTAACACAAGCTGCTTTTTCTCTTGTGTATCAGGAAAACCCCTTTGGTTGAGAAGACAACCCTTGTTAAATGGCAGGTATGACTCAGATGATAATATGTTGTGTTATTTTTATCCACTTTAAGACTGGTTTGTGCATCAGATCGATGCATAAACACAATTGGTATCATCAGAAAACCTGACTCATAATTTAAACTATGCTACATTAAAATGGGAAAGCATAATTAGTTTGTAATGTTGCCCTCTGGTCTCTTGTTTCAAATAGCAAGCATAATTACGGTGTTCAGACTGTCAACACCAAGTAAAGAGCAATACATACATGTCTTTTTTTTTGTTCTTTATCTTTATTATTTTGAACAATGTTTGGTGTGTTCATCCTCCTTGTGTACATGTTCTTCCAACAGAAAGGGGAGATCAGTAACTTCGAGTACTTGATGTATTTGAATACCCTTGCTGGAAGAACATACAATGACCTCATGCAGTATCCTGTGTTCCCCTGGATTCTAGCTGACTACAAGTCTGAGGTACAACAATTTCTAATTTAGGCCAGTTTTTCTCAACAATTTTACAGCATGTACAACCTAAAAAAATCCTTAGCTCTCCAAGTCCCGCCATAATGACCAACAACCAAATGTAATGCTTTGTTAGCCCCTGTGACATTATGTAGTTATCCACCAACAATTCACCCAAAGATTTGAAAATATTAAACAATTTAAATGATTCAATGACTTTAGCGAATCACTGAATTCTATACCATGGCAGAGACTATTTATTTATTTTTATTAATAGCCTTGCAAACTGTTTATGGAAATAAGATGCAATGTGTGAACTGTTATGAACATCTGTGCGTTAAATGTTTTGGGCTTCTGAGTTCGACAGACAATACAGTATTTGGTTTTAGAATTGCATGGCTGCATGCTTGAATTTTTATCCAAAATACGTATATGTCCCAGACACTGGACCTGTCAGATCCCACAACTTTCCGAGATCTGTCAAAGCCAATGGGTGCTCAGACAGAGAAACGAAAGCAGATGTTCCTCCAGAGATATGAAGAAGTGGAGCACAGTGAGAGTGAAGGTATCTTTCCAGCTACTTATTTTCCTTCTGGTCTTGCATTTGTGGTATATTACGGCTTGAATTCAATATCCACGTGTTCTTTTTACAATCTTTTTAGGAGGTTTGTCCGCAAAATGCCACTACTGTACCCACTATTCTTCAGCCATCATTGTGGCCTCTTTCCTTGTTCGCATGGAGCCTTTTTCTCATACCTTTCAGACACTGCAGGTATAGCACAAAATAAGTTGTGAGCACCAACATAAACGGTCCTACTTACAGTCACTTTTGTGTGAAAATTATAACATTTGGTAACTTTCATCTTTGATTCAATGAATTGTTTTTCATCCACTTATATTCATTTATCTCACAATTTCTAACATTTTTCAGAAAAAAAGGGTCTGAAATTGAAACAGGCTGCTATACTACAAACGTAAAGAGATTTCTCAAGGTGTGGACAGGGTCTTTATTAGTGATTAGAATCATTAAAATTCAAATAAGGCAGCGGTAATGAATATAAATTTAGATGAAATACATTCAAAAAATATTAGTCAGCTGCTGATTGGTCCGTACATATAGACTGGCACACACCGCGTCTGCAGCTCACACAAGCACGGCGCTTTTCATTAAAAAATACAAGTGAAATAAATAACCTCTGTTTGGATGTTTGTGCAACATCTGTTCTGGTTGTTTTTTTTTTTCTCTGTCTTTTTGAAAACAAATTATGGCGAGATTCCAATATATATGCAAATAATTGCAAGAGGCATCTAAAATCAGCCCATAAAGATAGCCATTGATGTTGCAAATTTCCAATAGGGTGTCCAATTGATTATAATGAAAAGGCATGCATATTTGATAGTCAAATAAAGCAATAATGTTAGTCTGGTGAATTACTGTGTACTTTTTTGTCTACTGAGGCGAACAACAGTCGCGTTGTAATATCCATAACTGGATTTCCATCTCTAACCAGGTTTATCAATACATAAGCTATTTTCATTCATTTCAATAATTGTTTTATTCTAAATTGCATTCCCTCTCATGAGATTTTCATCACAGATTATAGGAATTTATTGAAGCATGAAAAGCTTCCTTTGTCTGCAGTGAGGTTCTCTTCTCTGACGACTGGATGAATGGAACATTGCATCAATTTTTCACTTTATCTGTCTTCTCTTTTTACAGGGAGGATTTGATATCCCCGAGCGGATGTTTTATAGTGTAAACAAGGAGTGGGAGTCGGCCTCCCGAGATAACATGAGTGACGTCAGAGAGCTGATTCCAGAGTTTTACTACCTGCCAGACTTTCTGCTGAACTCCAACCACATGCAGCTGGGTCTGCCTCGATAAAGCTCTCCTTTTATCCATATTCAAATAACACTGCACGTATCATATATTAGCATACGATATCATAGCACATATTTTCCTCTGCGCCGTCTTTAGGCTGCATGGCGGACGGAACCGCTCTGGGAGATGTGGAGCTGCCGACATGGGCCAAAGATGACCCTCAGGAGTTCATTAGAATCCAGCGTGAGGTCAGTGACCTCACCCCCTTACAATCGGACACTCCCATTTAATTACATTATGAGGAGTTTTCCCATAAGACCTATTATTGCTATTCATAGCTAAACTCACAACATGCTGTTTTAAAATATGAAACAATGGTTCACTGCAAGAGGGGGCCCATGTAATAGTGTTGAGAACACTGTTTATTTGTTTTAAAGACGTACCATTTTATCCTTGTATTCTCATTTGCGTCTCATGCCACTTTTCTTGCTTTTCAACAAAAATGTATCTGCAGCACAACCTAAGGCCTTTCTTTTTTCCTCAATGCACCATGTCTGCGAGCTTCTCTTCGCTTTCTCAGATGGATTACTGTTCTTTGTTTTTTGCTCTTGATTCTTCCTTGTTCCATCCATCCTGCGGGTATCTTGACTGTTATCATGGCACAATCTACTGAACTATGCTCATGGAATTAGTGACTTTTGAAGATTGTTTTTTCTTCCGTACACAAATTAAATTACGACGATATATCCTCATTATGAGTTTTTCCTCCCGCCCCCTGTTACTCTAGGGTGGGATTATTAAGAATATTTGCCAGCATCCTGCAGGTCCTTAACTCCTCCATTTCCTTATTAACTCTTCAAAAACAATCTTTGGCTAATTCTGGACAAATCTTTCTTTAATGCCAACATGGTGGTATGCTCATAATTATGCAGCATCTCACTTTCAAATGGACTTTGCGAAAATCATATTGTTGTTTTTTTTGGGTTTTTTTTTACTACTTGTGCATTCTAAAACAAGTGGTGCTATAGTCTCATATTAAAAGTTTGACTGATGACTTTGGGCTCACTGTTATTGCGGCGCTCTGCATGCCATTGTAGTGGTTTGCAACAATAAACTCCTGTGTTTGTTTATAACAGGCCTTGGAAAGTGACTACGTGAGTTCACACCTCCACTTGTGGATTGACCTGATCTTTGGGTACCGACAACAAGGCCCTGCTGCTCTCGAAAGTGTCAACACCTTCCATCCTTACTTTTACGCCCTGAGAGGCCATCAAGAGGCTAGAGACCCACTCATTAAGAGCACAATTTTGGGATATGTCAGCAACTTTGGCCAGATTCCCAAACAGGTAAAAAAAAAAAAAAGAAATCCATTGATCACCCGATTTTTTTTTTCTTTAAATTAAAGCAAGCCCTTGTGTCCTTGCTATAGCTCTTCACTAAACCCCATCCAAAGAAAGAAGGGCCATCGCCACCTCATCCAACTCCATTTTTCTTCAGTCTGGACAAACTCAAGACGACTGCCCAACCATTTAGAGGTACGCTTGAAGCAAAGGTGGGCAAAGTGTGGCCGGTGGGCCACATTTGCCTGCTCCATTCCATTCTTCTGGACCACCAAGCATTTACAAGAGTCATTTAAAATGTGGTGCTAAATTTGGTTCATTAAAATGTACTTTTTCATTATTTATTTTGAGTCATTTAATTAAATAATTATTTTAAGTGCTTGATAAATGTATGTACTCAAAATAAAGAATTACAAAATACTTGTAAAGTAAAAACAAGTGTACATTCAATGCATTTAAGCTTTGATTAATTAATTATAATTTATTAACCACGAAGTTAGACGCTACTAAACCAACGCTTTAGTATTGGTTTGACTTCTGTTCTTACAAATACCAATCAGAGCATAATTCTAGATTTGTGATGGCCCAGTCAGAGTACAGACATGAATCCATTCGGAACTCAATGTGGTTGTTGTGTAATTTATTCAAAATCATATTTTGAACTGATTGGTGGATTGACCGTGGTATTTTTCCATCCGAAAAGTCAGCTCTTTTTACATGGGCGCTGTCACATTCCATATCCACTATCAAGAAAGCAGTGACTCCAATATACAATCCAGAAAATAGCATGCAATTATTGTCACCTCCATCTGCCCCCACTTTGTGTTGTTCCCCGCATTTATTTTATCTCACACCATTTGACGCCAATTATTGTATACAAGACGTGTCGCCGTCTCCGGGGGATCGTTGCAATGGTGCGAGAGCATCCATATTTTAATTTACACTATGGACGCGGCGGAAGGCGCCATCGGCGAACGACGATATGGAGATGACTCTTTTGCTGAGCTCTACTTAATAATCTGAATATCCCTACAGGCCCACTGAGGGAGAGGAGATGAATGTGCAAATGCTCAGGGAGAGATTCCTGCATATTACATTTCATATTAAATCTTAGAGTGTCTGATCTGATCAATAAGCAGATAGAGATGAATAGGAGGAGGAATGCCGGGATTTGGCCTCTTTCCGGGGACTTTCTGTGCAGAGCTGGTGACAGGATGTAATGATTTGTGCCTGTACAGATAGGTCAATTACAGGAACAATTACAGCCTCTTGCACACTCTGTGTGTGTGTGTGTGGGGGGGGGTGTGCGTGGGTGTGTGTGTGTTTGTGTGTAGTGTCTCTTTCTCTCTCTCTCTCTCTCTCTCTCTCTCTCTCTCTCTCTCTCTCTCATTCACACACACACACACACACACACACACACACACAAACATGCAACTGTCTGCTAAGGACATAACTAAACCTAAGTGGAACCTGCCAACTACCATTTTCTATGATTTCTCAAAATTCTATTCTAAACATGCATGAACTGCCTCAAGGTGGTTACGTTTTTATTCTTTTTTTTTTAAGTTGGAGTTTGATGATTTAAGTAACAGGATGTAGGTAAAAATGTTTGAAGTAAATTCTTGCTCCGCTATGCTGCACTCACAGTCACTTAACATGATGATATTTCTTTAGAACTGCCAAGAGGTCCAGTGGGTCAAATAGCGTGTCTGGAAAAAGAGGTGGTGATCCTGGAGAGTAACCGACTCCTCCTGTCCCCATCGTTGAGTTGCTTCTTCAACTGGGGCTTCCCCGACAACAGTTGCACCTTTGGAAACTATACCACTGAAAAGGTCATTTGGGACGCTGATTTGTTTTTTGTGCCGTACAGTGTCATCATGTCTTTGTTTACGTGTCCATGTCAAGACGTTTGCTGTGTGCGAGAGTTTATGTGCCTGGGGGCCAACAACGTGTGCCGTCTGTCCCAACCCAACGACCGTCATCACTGCCGGGAGCAGCACCGTGGTTTGTGTGTGGGATGTGGTGATCAACAAGGACAAAGTCACCCATATGAAACTCAGACAGGTTAGTCCGCCTGCATGTTTTTAAAAAAAAAATATCCATTAACATTGTTGTTGTCGCTCTGAATTTCCGCATTATATATTTTTTCAATATATTTTCAGCTCCAGTTTCACATGACATAAATTGTAATAATGTCAATGTTATTTCAAAAAAGCGTGATATAATAAATTGCTTCCAGGTGATGCGTTTTTATTAAAAATGCTTGTTGCACACTTACATTTGACTGCGTTCAAGTGTGTTTTAGGTCAAATTTTTCATTTTTCAATGTTGGTGAATACCGTTCTTCATCTTAGAAAAAAAATAAAAAGAAAAAGCATCATCTTAAACTAACTTTAAATGTAGCTTGTTTTTACACGTCTTGCTCAAATTTGACATCCTTTGAGCAATTTTGTTCATTACAATTTGAATGTGTGTCAGATTTTATTGATTTTTTTTGGAACACCCTGTCTTATATCATTTTTTTTTACCCACAGCCGCTGTACGGCCACACTGAAGTGGTGACTTGCATGACTGCGTCTGAGGCCCTTAGCTTGGTCGTGAGCGGCTCCAGTGATCTCACGTGCATTTTGTGGGATCTGGAGGAGCTCAGCTACATCACGCAGCTGGTGGGACATACAAGTCGCATCTCTGCAGTGGCTATAAATGAACTCACAGTAAGTCTGACCGGAATCTCATCATTACTGTGTTTGGCTCAGTGCTGTCATGTCTTCGCATCTTTCACGGAATAAGGAAAGGAGACTGCTTTGTGTATATTAACGCAGCAATGCTCTGTCCAAGGGTGAAATTGCATCATGTGCCGGGCCTTTGCTCTACCTGTGGACGATGAAGGGTCAACTGTTGGCCTGCACTGATTCCTCCTGTGGGCCTCGTGCTGACATCCTTTGTGTCAGCTTCACACAGCGACATGAGTGGGATGCCAGGAATGTGGTGGCCACCGGCTGTGCCGATGGCATCATACGGGTGAGTATTAAAGAAGAGCCCTTTGAGAAGAACAATAAAGAACAATTTAAAATAGTCTTTGAAATAATCCGGATGATATTTTGAAACAATCACTTTCAAAGTGCCTGTCAGATCATCTGAACAAACTTAAGGACAAACATGACGACTGCTTGTACAAAAAAAAAAAATGAATAGAATAAAATAATGAAATATAACATCTGCACAAACGTATGGCCACACGTTTCAATCAGCTCCAGTTGAGAACCACTGCACTTTTTGCGGCACTAACAGGTGCAAGAAAGAGGTTATTGTTTTGCTTTATCGAGTGTACGACTGCATAGTGTTTGAATGCATGTCATTACTTTGCGCTTAGCCTCGCAGGTTGCAACCTGGTGTCCGTCACAGTAATAATAACAGCATATGGGTTTGTGCGTGTTTCATATAAGCATAATGCTGCCTTGCTGCAATCAAACCGCAAACTCTTAAATTAGGCCCTCGCCGGGGAACGGGTGCCAATGCCAACACATGCTCACAATTGGTATTATTACTTTATTATTACCTTGAGTTATGGAGAGTGCGCGTACCCCCGCCGCGTGTGCGTGTCTTTGCTATTATGTTGAATTATGTCTGATTTTGCTACTCGTTATGTGTCTTTCACACAGATATGGAGGAGAGAGTACACCAGAACACAATTAACTGGCCCTCCAGAAGAGCTCATGTCCCCAGGGCGAGACCCAACAGCGCTGACAGAGAGCGCCGGTAATGCTGCTTGCTTTACGATCCGATACAGATCTATTTATAGCCGAGTGGAAAACTGCACCAAACGTATTTTTACTTTTTTTGTTTCACAAGGAAAACAAGCCTCTAATTAGATCAATCCTTAACTGTGAGATGATTATTTTTTAAGCGCTCTTCTCCGAGCAATGTGGGTGAGCTTTTTCAGATCCCTCGCTAGTGTTACGGCTAGCAGGAAGGATGTTGTTATAAAGTTATTAAACATAGAAGCAGTAAAGACTGATGAGTGAATGTGCTGACGTTCATGTGCGTGTATAATTTAGAAAGCAATAATACCCAGATCCAATTTGGCATTTGCTGGTTGGTTACAGCCCTACTTCACCTCACTTGAGTATTGTGCTGGGTAAATGACTCCAAGACCACTCTTAATGTAACATTTAACATTCATATTTAAGGGTTTTTCACAATTTGGCAGCCTTTTGACAACTGAGAAATAATTTGAATACTGAAGGAGTCGCACATGCTGATTATCATCATCACACTCAAGTTCATGCTGCAATGATGTCTCCATAGCGAACGGCCCGCAGCAGGTTAAACGTTGGAAGAGACGTCTGGTGTTGTGTCGAGAACTAAACAGAAGTCAGGCTGCGTCGCAGCGTCGCAGCAAAACTAATCCCGCTATCACAGCGTTGGCCATGTCCAGGTATTCACATAATGACACACACTGGAAACCGGTGGGCTTAATTCATGTTTTGTTGTTACAAAAATGTCTTTGTGTAGGAGCCATGCGACACTGTTGGCAGGTGACGCCTGGGGCCGGGTTTTCACTTGGACCTGCGAGGGAGCTCATGTGTGACCTCAATCTCTCACTTCATTTATTGATGGTGCCTTAAGACTTGAACAGTAGTGAACCTTACCTCGGATGTGAATATTTAGTAGTACTGTGTCTTCTTTTATGTAAATACTGACCTGCAATTTAATTGAATTAAACATTTTTAGCTATTTGTGACAATGCAGATTGCTACCCGTGTTTTGCTGGTTGAAATTGGCTGTAATTACTTAATCGACAAGTTTTCCTCTGACCAACCAATCAGAGGACGGAAAAAATGCCCGATTTTTAGTTTGCGCAGGCGATCCCCCTACGGGGTCTTTAGTTGAGAAAAGGACCTCAGGCTTACTTGGCCTCACTTTTTTTTGTGCGCATGCGATCTCCGTCATGAAAGGAGGAGGTCTCTGTCTTTAACCTTTGTGTGTGCAGCTAATTGTGCTAAGTGAAGTAGCTTAATAGAGTGGAAAATAGTCATCGTAATTTTCCCAGAGAGCCGCCAATGACCTTCTCTAAAGACAACGGCCAGCTCCATTCTCTCTACATGGCTGGTTTTATGATAGAGATGCCCAAGCGCCGGCTTCTTTACAGTAATTAAATCAAATAAATTATAGCGCCAAGGCAGAACCATCTTGTAGCTTAACCCAATTATACTGCACTGTAAAGCTAATTATTAACCATGATTACAATTAGTCTAATTTGAATAAATGTCGTCATTAGCAGGTTCATCCTGGTCGACGAGAGCAAACTGAGGGGGAGATGATGGTGATGATGATGATGATCATCATCATCACCACCTCTCCCACTCACAGTGTGTGCATCATGCACTTCCTGCTCTTCTATTTTTCAACCTGACCTTCAGCAAATGCCTCACGACCTTCACCTTTCTTGCCTGCTTGAGCGTAACGCATGCGCCCCCCCTCCCCCCTCCAAAATGTGTTATTTGCTGCTAATTGCCGAGGCCATTTTGCAAGAATCGACTCCCTGTGCTCCGCAGTTCAATTCAATTTAGTTTATGTGCTCGGCCCCAAATCAAAACATTCTAATAATTATCTCAGGGTTCTTTTTCCATACACACTGCACTTGTAGAGGGATACTTTGAATATGTGTATTCAAGTGGTAACGGGTAACCAGACATTACACAGTCGAATTTCATAAATGTCTTGATCTATCTTGTTCGTTCCAAAAAATACAGGATGAGATGTTATCCTTGTGCGAGCACATTCAGAGAGTTGGTGGATTTGTTGTTGGAGAATGACATGATCAAAAAAATGGAGGAAATGGGACAGTTGAAATTTTGGAACGCATCCTCAGTCGTGCTCCTCAGGCTCATGGTGTGTTTTGGCCATTCGCATGATACACCATCACCAGAGGTGGTCAGCTACAGACTGATCAGACCCGAGCTTGCGTCCCATGCCCAATTAGTCATGAGAGGTGTCCCATGGCAGACCTCTCGTGGGACTATTATTGAAACATGATTGGTTTGATTTGCAGAGTTGAAAAGAGTTGAATTTTGTTGTGAAATTTTAACACTTCATTGGGTGCGCCATCCACCTAAGAGAAATAAAAGCAGGTAAAAAATATAGTCGTAACTGAAAAATCTATTCAAAGACACAAAGATCGTAGAGGTGCTTTTTCCCCATTTTCCCCAACGCCGCTTGTGATCAACTTGCGACCAGTCCCCGGGGCTAGCGGTCGATCGCGATCTACTGGTTGGGCATGCCTGCCCAAATGAGATGTCTAGCAAATGGTTAGTGATATGAACTTAACAGAGAAAAGTCACCAGATCAATTTAAAAAGGGTTTTTATATGAAACAAATATTTTACATGGGCATATATAATTTACATTGCCATTTATTATTTCATAAGCGTGTCTCCACTGTAAACTAGAGATGAATGAAAAAAAGCTGAGAGTTGCAATGATGTCCAGAAAAAGGAGCATTGACAACGATTTCTCTCCTGAGCATCCTGTCAGCAATAACAGAGCATTCTTACAACATCTGGCTCACAGACCAGAGATGCCGACAAAGCAAACAAATAAAATCAGGCCCTTCAAAAATGTCTGTGTTAGACTCGAATCAGGTGCTCAAACACACGCAAAGACGCATACAGTGAAAACAAATGCCAATTGCATGTTCATAAATACACATCCTCACTCCAGAACCCAATCAGGTCTTCCTCTCCGGGAGGTATAGCGAGATATCCATGGGTCCAGATCGAGTTGCTGTGTTTACAGCTGCTTCTCCTGGAAGAGGATCTGAGCGTACACCGTGTCTGGGCTGGAAGGGTCAGGGTCGGGACTGGTGGAGGCCGGGGGCTCGATGGCTGGTCGGACCAACTCCAGCTCCGCGTATGTCAGGTTGTCCTCCTGACGTGCTTGAGGCTGCCAACAGCACGGGGGAATTTAGTCAGAGGTGAAAGACTGCAAACGTGCACATGTTTCTCTCCTGAGTGTAGAACAGGGTTGGGGGGAAAAATACGGACTGCGCTGCTAATGATGCGTCACTTCAAATGAGTTTCCTTCATTTTATACCCTCTCGCCCCCACCCCAATTGGATGTATGATTTTGGTATGTCCCACTACAGTGTATGTGAAGTGCTGAGATGATTCTAAACCAAAACATGTTTTCATGGTTTTATTGTCCACAAAAAAATTATAAAACAAGTCACTTTGATGATGTCGGCCTATATTCTATTTTCATAATCCCATGGAACATTTTTGCATGTCCCCAAAATGTGCACCCTGTCATTATGGGCTAACTGCTCTTTTACGGAACCTTCGAGCTTTTCCATGACACGACAACCATTGTTTTTGCCTTTATTCAGTGGAGGCTGAAACAGTGGATTGGTGCAGAATAAATTTTTACTCATACTGGACGTTTAGTCAATTTTGTGTCGTCTGTCAGTGAAATATAAATTGATATAAAACCTGAAAATTTGAATGATGAAATGGAGAAAAAAAAGTACAATAAAGTATATTGTACATGTATCTATAGCTAACCCCTGCCTAGTCACGGTTTGCTGTTCATGTTCGATATCGGTATTAACCTATCCATTTTTCCCCCGCTGCAACCTATTTTGAGATACCAAACAAACAAAAAAACGCTCACCAAATTGCAACATTTCATGCCCTACTGCAAATGACCTAAAATGGCATCAAACCCCGTCTTATTTGAAAGTAGTAATTGGTGTCAAGGAAGTATGTTTAGGTGATTGCGTGGCAATATCTTTATATAGCGGGGAGGAGCTAACCGGTGTTGGTGCTCTCCTTAGATTTGTTTGGGTTAAAAACAATCTTCAGACTTCCAAGAAAGCCTTAATCTAAACAAAAAAATATGAGTATTGGATTGTCAAACATGGAATGCATTTTTGGGGGATGCTTACAATGGAGTGTTGCCATTCATCACATAAAGGAAAAAAAAAAAGCAAAAATGCTGGAAACATTGGAGATAGTTTTCTTCTGTGTGAACTTACTTGATAGTTAAATTGTGGAAATAAAACCAGTGAAGCGCCCTAAATAAATAATTGTGTTTGAGAAGCAATAGCGATAAATATAATTATCACGCTCATAACCGAATGAAGAGAGAGCAATAAACTCTTGTAGACAATCAGGCGGTCGTGAGACAAATTCCCTCTTGTGTGTATTTCGGCAGCAGCAATTTTATAAGCGCCTTTTAAAAATGATTGAATTAATTTTGTGCTATTACTGACATCAGTAGAGGAGCTCCCGAAGATGAAGACTTACATTGGCAGACCTCCTTGGGACCTTTGACCTTTTGGGCTTCTGGGGTCTTTTTGAAGCCACGGGCACTGAAAATAAAAGAATATGTGTAAGCGATATTCTTTTTTTTTTTTTTGGGGTGGGGGGGTTGGTAAGCTTTTAGCAGTTTTTTTTTTTTTTTTTTTTTACTGATGATGCTTTTAACTTGAATTCCCGCAGTGGGATTTTCCCCAAATAAGAGTGTAAAGTTTCCCTCTCGCCGTTTTTCACATTGTCTGCGTGCTGTTTTCATGGTGCTACAAATTGAATTATACTGCCTCGATAATGATACCTTCACATCCTGTTATTTTAATCCTCTCATCCAGTTTCTTAGCATCACGGGAGCCTCAAGTATTGCCCCTGCTGTTCTTTAATACCTCCAGCACATTTGGAAAATGTGATGGAGACTTTGCAAAGTTTTGGTGAGTTGACCCGTGGTCTTGCAATGTTTGATATGCTGTTCTAATGTTCTTACCTGTAGGTGGTGTGTGTGGTAGTGGCTTCTCAGGCACCTTAGGGGGTTTTAATGCCACTTTCCTATCACTTTTTTGCCCCATGTATTTACTCAGTGCTCTTGGTGAGGAACTAGAAGAACTTCCGGAGCTGGTTACTGTCTCTCCGGAGCTGCATGGAACAGAGATGCTGCAACTCAGAATATGTGACGTCTTATTTCTTATGAATGAAGATACATTGGCCGTACCTGCTCTCTGGACACTTGACCAGAAGGTAACTTGCTGTGGAGAAACAAAAAAAAACAAAAAACGAAAGTCTGACGTTGTCCAACGTACTGCAATGGCTTGCGTTCGACCACCAAGGTTCTATTAATCCATTACTGTTTCATGTGAATTGTAGATGGTAAATGAAGTGACCTTTGAGCCTGTGTCTCCTGAAGAAATACTGGAACGTGAGCGTGAGAGTGAAGAGGAAGATGGAGACTAAGCCCAGCGAGCAGATCAGCACGGCACACACGTTCACGTCTGGCAAGACAAACGCATTGGAACAATAACATTAAAAAACAGCCATTAATGTTGAGGAAACAACATTAGTGCGAAGGCCCGCGGGAATACCTGATAACAGGCGCCAAATTCCTTCACCTCCACGAGCCTCCAGTGTAAAATGCACTGGAGAGAGGAGGAAAAAAGAAAAAAAAACATTTATGGAGAAGAAACGGTCCAGACTAAGCATCTTTGTAAATTGCTGTTCTCTGAAGAAACTGACCCACTAGAGGCCAGACAGCCTCTGTGGTTTTCCAGAAATATCACAAAAGGCTGGAATGGAGGTAAAGTGGCGCTCACACACACACACACACACACACACACACACACACACACACACACACACACACACACACACACACACACACACACACCATAAATGAATGAGGACGTTGCAGTGCGTATGTGTCAATGAATGATGTGGCGTGAACAGGCGAGGGGTATTTAGCAAAAGGTTGAGGAGAATGAATACAGGCTACGGACATAAATGACTTAACCTAAGCACCCCTTAATGACTTTTTAATATGTCTTTTAAATGCATGCGCCGCATAAACTCGTAAGATATATCAACTGTGATTGACTTGTCACATGTGAATATGGCGCTAATAAATGTCACAGGAGCGAGAAATATACATGTCGTAAAATTATACTTCCTGGTCATTTTATTGGATACAGCCGACAAAAAAACAACAAATCTGCCTTTACATAAAAACGAAACAAAATCGCCTATTCCCTATGACTGGTTTGGAGTGGTGCTCATTTGGACAATTCCCTTGTCGGGTGTTTAGGAATCTGTATGAATTTGCTCAAAATTCAATTTGTGGCCATGCGGCTAGTGTGAAAGTGTTTTTTTTTGACACATTTGCAATTTTTTTTTTTTTAAGCGAAGAGATGCAGAATATCGGACTTTGTCTTTTACGCATGCTTTTCTCCTGGCTCGTGCGTCTTGCTGCATGAGTCTGCAGTAACACTAGTCCATGTCTAAAAATCGTCACTGTAATTTCGTAAAAACTCACAATCCAAAATGAGATATTATGTACGGGTTTCAAAATCCACAATACAGTGAGACCGCAGAAAGTGAACAATGAAATGGCCTTTATTCAAGTGTTTCCAATTGTTGTACCCCACCTCCCGATGAAGGTCATCTGGCCTCGTCTTCCCCGTGACCCCAATGAGCAGCATGGAAATGGTTGGATGGCCAATTGTGTCGTTGTACCATGAATACTCTTTAAACACAAACCGAGCCACACCGAAGCCAGGCAGCAGCATCCCATAAAGTCATTCACTTTATCACTTCTTCCAAGTTGCCCAAGTAAGTCACAGCCAATGTTCACTGCTCCAAGCTCAGCCTTTTTTTTCCAGCAGACGGAGGAGATCCCCCATTTAAGAGTCAGATTTAGCGTTTTGATTTGTTTTCCCTTTTAATGTCAACTCTTGTTTTTACTGCTTCTGTGGTGTGTGCATGTCAGAGATGCCTGCGGTCATGTGGCTTCGTCAGTGCGACACTGACCTGAATGTAGGACAGGCAGGGCGTTGGCAGATGCCTCCACCGTTTCAAATGTTCTTAACAAGTGCCCAAAAAGTATATGCCAGAGCTGCAGCAGTCGCGTCATATAGGCGGACATCACCGGGGCTGCATCAGACCACAACAATTTAGTGTGCAATCATCATTTTACTCAAACTTTATTGTGGCCGTGGATTTGGGTGAGAAAATGAGCGTTCTCCTAAAGGAGCTTTCAAAACGCTGAAGTCATCTAATTCAGAGTTGGTGAACACGGCCAGCTCAGCAACAAGCTACCTCTGCTCACACTCATTCACAGAGTCATATTGTTGTGTGTGGTTTGGCCATGTGAGCTCATTGTTTTTATAGGGAAATACCACAGAAATGGGGTGACACTCACACACACGCACACACACAGACACATACAGAGCGAGGGGCGTGGTTCAACACAAATGATCAAGCTACGGTGTAGCGCTGTCTTTGCTTTTCCAACGTTTGCTTTTTTTTTTTTTCCGTAATATGGATGTCGTGTGTGCAGGACGTGCGGATGCCCTGGTATTCCAGACAATAAATTTTCCGTGCAATGACAGCAGAATTCCCCGTCTTCTCCATTCCAGTCCCTCTTGGCAGTGCGTATGAGGATTCTGTGTTGGACTTCACTTTGCTGGCCAGAATCAACTGATGATTGAATAGACGCTGATAACTGACGGTGCTTTTAATCGAAGCTGACGGGCCAGATTGTTTGATTTACATACACGTATGTGCATTCGGAGCGTGGATGGTAGAAAACTGTCTGGAAGCTGGTCAAACTTTTATTACCATGTGATAAACATTTGGCTTCTCGTGTTAATTATGAGAACATGACATCAACAACTACCATGCGCATTCAGTAGAGTTGTTAATGACAGCATCTTTTACATTTGGGCTGGGGAACAGTAAATATATGAAAAAAAAGTTCATTATTATATATCAGGAGCGTTTGTGGATTAGACTGAATGGCAGATAGGATAAAAAGCTTTTGCGGATATATCAAGGAAGCCTTCTTCTTGTTTGTTTGTTTGTTTTGGTTTGTTTTTTTGAAGAATTCCATCCAATCATCCATTTTATTTGTTGTCCGTTTTTTGTTATAACCGCTGCGATGGCAACACATTTAACTCTAATCTGTTCACTAAACAAGCATACAGTTTTTCTTACTTTGAAACCTCAAGTTCCTGATTGGTCCATTCATTTTTATTTATTTTTTTCCGGAATAGGCCACAATCGAGTCATCTTGCGGTTTGGCAAGATGGCGTTGTGAGAAGACACACCTATTCTCATAAGTCCTTCCTCTCAAGGTTATTTTGGATCTCCGAAAACAGCCAAAACATGCACATTTCTCATTCAGTACAGTGTTCCATTGCATTCCCCTTTTGAGCTTTGAGCCACAAAAACAGAAATATAAAGCCTGGTACACACGTGCTAATTTTGAACATCTTAACCGATTTTTAAAATATGACAGACCCCACACGACAATGCATGTGTTTGGACTGTTCTTCTTTAGTGACCAAAACACACCGCACACATGACGATATCTCCACTGACAATCACAAACATGGTCTCAAGACTGACCAATGAGAAGCAACATTGTGCCACAGGCCATCCAGGCTACCAGGAAATACAACAAAACGGAAAGACGAATTGTAGCCAATTGACGCAATCAAAGAAGCTAGGCTAAATGTTAGCTTATCTGGGAACTACGGGCGCGTTTGGAAATACGCTGCGAGAGCGCACTGGTTCACTCCAAACGTTTTATAAATTGAAAGCATTGATTAAATGTGCTGCTTGGTTATTCAGTGTATCCCAAACAAAGAAATGCCGCAGCGTGCTCTGACCACTTCAATGGGAACACGGTGCATCCGGTCCATTGGGCAGTACGGGTGGAAGCAGTTCAAGCATATGCTGCTGATTGGTTTGTAACACTATGTTCGCAAACCAATGGGAACTCTGCCTTTCCAAATTTCACATTCTCAGAGTGGTCTAAGGGTGTCAGAGTTAAGCCAGAAGTGTATTTTCAGGATTTGCAAACGTAACTATCAAAAACGTCAAACATGTACAGTTTGTCGGGCCTAGGTGTTCATAGGTTCATCAAAATCACTCTTAACAACCCTCAGGATAATCAATCACTTCTTTTTTAAGACATCTCAAACTCAGATTGCTGACTTTGATCGGAAAGGAGGAATCGTGCTCCATTTTGACCCCATTATTAGAATGTGTAGCTGTTTCCAAATTTGTAGCCTGCATCCTTGAGAAGCCTTCGCAGGCTGAGTTCCGTCAAGATTCCTTCTCGTGTAGACTCCTGGACCGCATAAACTGTCGTGAATTTGGACAGGTCTAGCGTAGAAGAAGAGCGGCGCAATGCAGGCTTCGCAAGTGTGATCCGAAAGAGCCTTCGCTCAGGGCCAGTCTCCATGGAAACGAAAGCCAGATTTGAAGGCTCGACTCGAAGGCCGCGTAAAGTTGGATGCTAGCGTGCAGTAATGGCAATAGCTTTCGTTACCTGTCAGCTGTGTGGTGCTGCTACCGTTGGACCATGCTCTCCATATGTTCCTGTACTTTCTTATCTCGTGCACTCGACACGTGTAGAAGCCCTGGTCCGTCCCACTCACGTTGAGAATCCTTAAGCGGTACACCTCTCCCTCCGTTTGCTCGTAAAGACGAAACTTGGGCTGGGGGAAGCGGCGGGTGTAGTTGCCGTACAGCTTGATTTTCTTGATGCCCATTTTGACTATGAGGACCTGGGAGGACTCTGGGGCGGCGGGGGAAGGAGACGGGAGAGGTAAAGGAGGCGCGGGGGTGGGAGCAGCCAGAGGGGAGAAGAACCAGCGGAGGACGAGAGTGCTGCCATTCTTCTTTCTCTGAGATACCAGGCAGGACAGTGTCAGGTTCTCCCGCTCGGTTGCCGTGAGAACGGGCCCCGGGATCACCGTCACGTTCAGGGCGTGACATACTTCTGTTGACAAAACATACAAAGAAGACTTCGACACAAGGGGTGGACAAACTTGTGCTCAATTCTCATATTTAATTTTCATTTATGATTAATTTCGTATTAACTAATTAGCAAAATATTTAGTATTGCAACTTTTAAGATAGTTCAATTGTATGTAGAATCCAGTGACCATGGTCTTGACTCAAAACGTCGTTCTCCATTGAAATGGAGGGAAATGCTCTTAACCCCTTCCGGCCTCCCTTGACTCCATTAAAAAAAAAAAAAAAAAACTACATAAAAACAAAAACTGTCTCGTGTTTTTTTTTTTTTACTTGATAAATACATCAAGCTACAACAAAATTCAATAGATTATAAACCATCATGTGCCACATGATTTAATGCTGCATTTCAATTTGCCGTGCTGCTCCTTTTGGTGAGCCCAGAAGGCAGTGCTGTATATGTGCAGTAGTGCAGACACTAACGAAGAATACGAGGAAGAATATGCACTATACACCTAATTTATTAACATTTACTGCCTTGCTTTTGTCAGAGGGCGCAACGCGGATTGCAAATCTTTCAATTGCCACGTGGTTGGACGAACAAACACAAATAGGGCGCTTGCCGCTCCGTGATTTCTTTTCCTCCCGTGTGCCTGTCGAGTTTACATTTGTGAAGTCATTTGTGTTTCTTCTCCCTTCACTTCAGCAGCGTGTTTGATTTCCTGCCAGTTCGACATAATAGCGGCGTTTTGTTGACATGCACGCCCGCAGCGGCTGCACAGATTCACACTGCTTCATCTCAAACTGTCATGTTTTTCTATCATTAGACGGGGAAATTCGGCCCCATCCGATCCTAAACTCTTCCCTGGTGTGCTGCTGTTTTGCTTCTCTGCAGGTAGTGATGTTTTGCTCTGCAGCCAGCTGGGGCAGCTCACGTCTGGTCGAGACATAGAGTCTGGACACAAGATGCGCGATCCAAAAAAAAAAAAAAGAGTAAAGGGAATCTGCTGGTGGGAAACACTATAGGAAGCTCAAAACAGCCTTAATAAAAGAAGATAACAATATAACATGGACCAGATGCCATCCACTGTTGTTCTGATTAATTTGGGAATCTCCCTGAGTGTTTGTGCACGCTCCCTAATTGAATGCGACAAAAAAGTAGATCCTTACAAAATTAGTACTCAATACGATTCGTTAAAGACTTGTGTCAAGACTATTTTAAGCAGGTTTTCTTTCAAGTCACTGGTAAGAAGTGTGACAAGGATCACTTTCAACTTCAGTGTAGTGCAGTGTTTTTTTTTTTATCTTCTTATATCTTAAAGTTAAAAAAAAAAACATAACCTATAATTTTAGGTTTCATATCATATGCCTGTCTGGATGTATTTTCTGCCAGCCTTGCATGCATGCTCATTTTAACTCACCCTGCCGTGTTATTGCAGTAAACAAGATGAACCTACCTGTGAGCAGAGCTTTAGTCAGGACCAGCAGCACTACAGAAATGTACATTGTCCTCTCTCAGTGAATCCATAAACCCACAACACTGCAGCACGCTTAAACAAGCGGAGCACGACTGCGGGACCCACCACAGCCTTTGGCCACATGAACTCTTCCTCTCTTTCTCCTCTTTTCGCAGTAATATGAAACACTAGTTGCTCTGTTCCCACTTAGGAACTCCCACTCGTTCTCCCAGTAGTCTCTCGCTCACATGCTCGCTCTCTCGCTGTCTCTGTGTCCTGCTAAACGGAGGAAATGTCATTTCCTGAGTTCTTCTGAAGCGTCTTGGGCCAAGGCCTTAAACCCCCACAAGCCTGGTTGTTCTGGTCCACTCTGGTGGTTTGGTGCAAGGCCACGTGTCTATCGCAACGCGTGTCATTTTTAGAAGCGTATACCATAGAGTGCTGAATGTGCATTTCCACCATCCGCAATTACTTCTCTAGTTATGCTGCCAGTCAAATATGTTGACCCCCCGTGTTTTTTTTTTTTTTTTTTCATGCGTGTGGTAACGATGCATTTGTGCGTGGTGGGACTTCTCCCCCGTCTGGCTGCTGGAAAGAGTGGCATGGGCTTGTCTCCGGCTGCGGATGACAGACGCTCCCAGGCCTGCTGCTTTATTGGGCGGCCTGAATCGCTGAGGCCGGCGCTTCAGATGCAGCCAAAGACAAATGATGCATTGTGGGTCGGATTGTGTTGGAGAGGAGTGGGTGGTCAATGTTTTTGTTTTGAAAATTTGGCAATATATGCATGGAAGCGTGTAAAGGGGGTGGGGCAGTAGCTCAATCCTCCTCAGCGCTGTGGAGCTCCCCTCACTTGCAGGCAGCGGTGAACCATCAGGTTGAGTACACTATCAGGAGCAATGACCTACATTCACAAACTAAATTCTTGTGTTTGTTCCTTAACCCTTTCAGGGACAGCGGTTACTACAGTGGACAGCTTATCGTGTTTTCAGGTTCAGGGTGCATGAAAGGTATTTCATGTAGAGTTCAAATTCAGCCTCAGAGGGCAGGTGGGGTGGCCCTCAGTGTTGTCACCATATTCCTGTCCTCTGATTGGTTGGTCAGAACAAGCACAATGTTGAACGAGGAAAATACAATCTGTAGTGATCAACATCTGAGTGAGTCTTTTATTTAAATTTCATATGTTTTTGTCACATGAGTTAAATGTTGATTTTGAATTGCTCCAAATGTTGTTTTTAGCACAGTTACATTGTGTTTATGTATAATATTGATGGTTTCTATCATTGCAACATGATGGTGGTGGTACTAACAGGTGAATTAATTGAGCTCCCAAATGCATGGCCACACCACCACTCAGTTGTTTGACCTGAATTTTGGTGCAAGAGAGGGAATGAATGATTCAGTGTATTCATTCATTTCACTTGGTGTCCCTAAAGTCTGGACATCGCAATCATGCTTTCATTTTCTGTACCGTTTATCTTTATATTGAAGACGTTAGTCCAGAGTTGAATTGAATAAAATGTATGAAATGTTGAAATGTCCTGTTTTGGACGACCTAGCGTAAAAACCCGACGCGCATCGTATTTGACATCGGAAGTTTCACTGTGTCTGTGGATTGATCTAATATGTTAGCAAGTGTCGTCGTTCTCGGTTTAATACTTTCTTGGGCATTTCACTTTAGCAGCAGTATCTTATTCATACGCAATTTATGATGGAATTGCAATTTCTTTCTTAAAATGTTGACTCTGTTCCAGATTTTAGAGACTATTAACTACCGCTCAAGGAATGTGGAGCCCACTTGGGGCTCACTATCAGTGTTCATTTGTATCTGAATTTGTCAGTCTTGGGAAATCAAAGAAAAGACAAAGTCATTTCTGTCATTAGATCCCACTGGCATCGCGGGCAAGGATCCAAGCTTCAGTTCCATACAGAAATAAAATGACAACACAAGTATGCTGCAAAATCTTTCTTTTGTTTATTAACTCTCTTAGGACCTATCAATGCGCTCTAAACAGCCCTTCATAATTGTTGTACGCACTCAGCAGAAAAGATGTTTAATTTCAGTCATTCAGACCCAGGGAACATTTCAATAGTCAAAACAGGTAACAGTAATATCTTCTTGTTGCATTTATTGTGTTTATTCAAGTCACAAAATGAAATCTGCAACAGTCCGGTGATTTCTGTCAGGAAGTCATTTGGCTGAGCAGTTATTCTGTTGAGTCAAGTGTATTTTTAGTGCATGTCACACTGCTTTGTTTCACCGCAAAACACAACTTCCAACATTATATAGTGACTTTTGTATGACACTTTACAACAGCTTCATATGCTGCTTCATGAAACAGTGCTTTACATCAGAACCTTCAGTGGCATTATAGCGTGACAAGACATGCATCACAAGACCAAAAGTTGTGCTATAATTATGTTTACATAAGGGAGAAACTTTCATTTCTCACATTCATAAATGGGCAATGGAATGGTGAACTGTAGCATAAGCTAAGCATGAGTGATGTAACAGCATTTCACAGGGACAAACCAAAAAGACTTTTTTTTTTTTTAACATGAAAAACATCACCATATAAATAAAATACTTATTGGACTGTATTGCATTGTTTACACAGACGTTCACCACAATATCAAAGCAACTTCCTTTTTTTCACGCTCCCACCCGCCACCCTCACAACTCACCAGTCGCTCATCTCCATAAAATCATCCAGCTCACTCATAGATATGATATCACATGGCCGACACCTTGAGAGGGCTGAGTTATCATTTTCACAAAGGATTCCTGCAAGCTGGTTTGTGTCACACTGTGGGAAGGATTCATGCGTGCTGTAAACAGTGTTTTGTGTTTTGTTGGTGTCATTAACCGTATCCATGTAGGGCGTCTGCTCAGGACTGTAGCGTTGACCTTCAGATTTCTGGCCTGTTTCATTTGACTGATTTGTTTTGCAGTTATTGATGAAATACGGTTCCTCCTGGACGACCACTCCTGAGGGTAGGCTCTGGGAAGGCATAGAGGACATCCCTTGGGATTTGTAAACTTGTGGATACGCTTGGGAGCCTTCATAAAGTGTGAAAGGCTTCTCAGCTGGAGAACTATGTGAGAGAAGCTCGGGTTGCTGCTTGAGCTGCAATTGGGGTGGTAAATTCAGATGAGGGAATAGTGGCTGGGTCAACACAGGCTGGAGATGAGGTTGAAAGATGTTCTGGCCAGATTGACGGACATTGAGTTGAACATATTTTCCTGTCTCTGGATCAAAGAAAGTCTTTGTTTTCACCTCAATAGGTGCATCTACAAGAAAATATCGGCCTGAGCCAAGGTCTTGCAACACCTTGTGCTGGGTTAGTGGATAGGACTGGGGATAGCTTGACTCTACATGGTACTGTGTCACTGGAGCTGGGTGGGGAGCATAATGGACCGTGGGAGAAGAAGGAACATGTTGAACCATCTTTGGAGTAGGAGGGTGTGTCATCTGGGCAGAAGCATGAGGGGAGGACACTGGAAAGGAGATAGGTGCTGTGACGTGAGGGGTGGCAACTGGATGGGAGACAAGGGCGGGCATGTAAGGGAAGGCAACTGGATTGGATACAGAAGAAGTGACGTGAAAAGTGGCGGGTGGATGGTTTACAGGTGCCAGGACACGAGGAGAGGCGGCTGAATGATTCTCAGCAGCTGTGGTATGAGGAGAGGTGACTGACTGGGATGGCGGGGGAGGGATGTGAGGGGATGCACCTTGGTGCATTAAAGGTACACTGGAAGGAGGTGAGGACAAATGATATGATGCGGGGGAGGTTACGTGAGGGGAGGCAGCATGAAGGGACACATCGGTTGTGGCGTGAGGAAAAGTAACTGAGTGCGGTCCGGACGTGACGGAATGAGGGGAGGAAATTGAATGTGATGCAGGTGCAGTGACAGGTGGGGAGACGGCAGTGGCAGCATGAGCAGCGGTGAATATAGGTGCAGGGGAAGGAGAAGCAACTGGGTGCAACATGGGTGGAGTGTACTGAGGGTATGATACAGGTGCAATGACATGAGGGGAAGTGACAGGGGGGGAGGCAGGAGCCGTAGCATGAGCGGAGGCATGGAAAGTGAGGCGTGAGTGCAGGTTCTCTGTGTGTGTCGAGGGTAAGCTCGGCCCAAATGTCGGTGCATGGGTGAGCGAGACGGGAGGGGCAAAATGCGGAGAAGCCACGGCATGGCGGTTTAAGGAGCGTACCTCGGTGGAGGCAGAAGCAGGCCTACTGGAGGCTTCCCGTTGTGGTTTCTCTGCAGGGTCGGTTGTTGCGCTTTGGGTCACCTCTTTCCTTATCCTACGAGTCGTGAGTCTTTGTGCCCTGCGTAAGGCTTTGTCACTCTTTGGTGGAACAGCTGGAGGTTTTCCCAAACGCGACATATCGCTGCTGAAGCTGCAGGCTGACACCGGCCTCTCGTAATCATACAGTCCTCGCAAATCTGCGACATCAGCAGCACTGGTGGCAAAACTCTGTACATCCTCGGACATGTTACTGATGACTGATGGGGAGTCGTCGTCGTCCAGAGCGACGCTTCTCCTGGAGAAGGGCCTGTGATGTGGGAGAGGAGCTGAGTATTCTTGTGATGTCGATGCAGGCTGAGAGACGGAGGATTCGTTAATTGGAGTGAGTCGGTTTAAGCCTGCGATCGCGTCGCGGTGGACGGGCGTTCCGGTGTTCCGGCTCGTTATCTCCTGTTCATTCCCTCTTCGCTCTGCTTTCCCTTCCGTCGGTAAACCCACTCTGGACTCTTCTGCAAAATTCTTATGAAAGCGTGGTTTAACTGATTTAGTGAAAGAAGAACCTCTGGTGTTATCCTTCACTCTGAACATCAACATTTTGGCTCCGAGAGCAGGGGAGGAAGTATTGGAGCGTGGAAGAGGAGGAGCAGGAGACGGAGGAGCATGTGGCCCGTGTGACCTTCTGTGCGATCCAGAGTCTTCCGGAGGCTCCGATGGATGTTTCTTTTCTTGTAGTGGGGAGAGTGTTTGTCTTTCTTTGGGTTTCTTATCTTTCGAGCTGATGGTGTAGTACTGAAGAGCATCCATCAAGAGTGCTGCCCGTTTCTGCTCCTCGCTGGTCGAGGCTTTCTTTCTTTGAGTTGTGAAATGTTCTTCTTCCCTATTGGCCACGAGATCATCGGCAATTATCAGCTCTTCACCTTCGGCCTCTCTTGGTTTTGCACTCGTGTTTGGCTTTTGGTCGGCACGGGTTGTCCCTTTGTCCTCACGGGTCATCTGTTCAACTCTTTTTTGCCTTTCTCGCTTCTGCTCATCTCTCATGCGCTCTTGAATCTTTTTGATCCTTGTCTCCTCCACAAGTCTCCGCTGCTCAATCCTCTTGGCTAGACGTTGCTCCTCGATGAGCACAGCTCTCATCTGCTCTTCCTCTTCAGCAGTTCTCTCTCCCGGTCTCTGTTCCAGTCTGTTCCTTTCTCCAACCGATGTGCTTTCTCCCCTTTCCTGTTGGGCTTTCAGCGGGTGTCTTCCTTCTCTTTCTGTTCTTCTTCCATCCTTTCCTTGATGGGTTCGCCTACCCTCGATTTGTTTTCCCTTTCTTTCCTCTTCCATCCTTTGGGCCGTTTCTTTGAGTTTTTCCCACCGTGCCGCTTCTCTTTGAGCCCGTTTTCTCTCTTCTGATATAAATGCCCTCCTCTCTTCTATCCTAGCTTTTATGTCTTCTGCAATTGTATCTTGCCTTCTCTTGGAAGCGCTTTCCTCTTGCTCTCGTTTGGCTTTTGTCTCTTCTTGACAAGTGTCAAGGTTTTCTTTTCTTGATTTTTCTGAATTTCTTTCTCCTGCTCTGTCTTTATTTATATCGTTTTTAATTTTTGAAGTCCCATCTGGATAAATTGGCTCCATAGTGGGTTTTGTGTCAGAGACTTTTTCCCTGAGCACCAAACAATTAATTGAGGTCAATCCTGACGTGTTTTCTGTTGCATTTGGAGCATCGAGTCGTTTTTGTTGTTGTGACTGAGGATTTTCTCTTGCTTTGTGCAGTAAGGAAGATGATGTTGCGTCTTGCCTACGATTATTATTTTGTTGACTAACTATTTCTCCATCCACCTTTGGGACCTCTTCTCTGTTGACCTCATTTTTAACTTGAGCTTTTGGCATTGCTTTTCTTTGTGTGGGCTGTTGTAGCTCTTTGTCCAAAAGTTCTTCATGATGTTTGACATCAGATACGGTTTTCTCTCGTCTTTCTTTCTCTCCCAGTTTGAACATCCCTGTACGCTGATGCTCTTTCTCAGTTATGGGAAACACGACTGGTTTGGGCTCTTTGTTGACTTTGGTGTCGACCTCTGTCTTTTTGGGCGGACTTTTGTCTTTCACAGGCGGCTCTTGTGGGTCAACACTGAATATTGGGCGTCTGGCATAACGGGACTGTATCAGTGGAAAGAATCCTTCTTTTTTGTGAGGAGGAAATTCCTGAATTGTGTTTTCTCTGTCTTCTGAAACAATGACTTTTAATCTGGCATAGTCCGCAAGGGCTGATATCTCAGGAATTGTAGACACTCTTTTCTTTGGTTTTGATTTGACTTCTGACTCCTCGCTTGCCAGCTGTGAATTTCTTGAGTTATGTCTTTCCCTGACTGATAAATTTGATCTAAAATCTGAATGTTGTTTTCTCACATCCACCATTTGGGCAGCCGCCATATTTTCACAGTTCTGTGATTCCGAGGGACGATCGCTTTGCTTCAAAGCGTTCTTTTCTGTTGCGCCTCTTTTTCTCATTCTCTCATTTTGAACATGTTTTGTGGAAGATACGGACGTGCTCTGATCCGAAGGTTGGTTGGAATGTTCCCCTCCCTTTGAAACGTCGGGGACATTTGCGTGTGTGCTATTATTTCTAAAGAGTGCTCCAGGTATCCCTTGAACTTGGAAATAGTCTTCCTCACTGGCTTCTACATTTGAAATTGGAGTCTGTGCTACGACGGTCCCCCTGTCTTCTCTTTTTGTATTTATACTCATGCTATTGTGTTGATCTATGTTTTTCATTGAGTCAGTCAATTTTCTTACATTGTCTTGTACACTTAGTTTGTCTTCCATCTTAACGTTCCTCTGCTCCCCACAGCCTTCTGAAGTGGGATGTATATTTTTATCATTTTTGATTGATGCGCTCGTGTTTTCCACCGCAATTGATGATGCTTGATGTTGATGTTCCTCAGCTGCAGCCACATCAGAGCACGTTGTGCTCTGTTCTTTCTCCACACTGTCACTCTCTGTTGCTGCTGGGACAACTCTGATGACAATGTTGTCTGTATGAACATCTTCGAGGTGATTCGTTATTCCCGTGTTTGACTCCTTGCGTTTTGAAGATGCATTCATGCTTTCAATCTTAATTAATTGGGGGCTGGTAGTGTCATTTCTGTTTTCTTCCAGTAGGAGTGCACTCTTATCCTCTATGCCGCTGATTTCAGATGGATTTATGTCAGATGCCGCATCCTGTTCCAGGCATGGTGTGACAGATCGAGTTTCGGCAATAGTTTTGGTATCTTGGATGCAATTAAGTCCTGTGTTTATTCCTTTGGCCGTGTCTTGCTTTAAATGTGGATGAATTTCTTTTGTCTTAATTTCCTCTTGATCTTTGTGGCAGTTCTCTGCTGGGTCGAAGGTTTCAAATGTGCTTCCTGCCATTTCCAATGTTGCTACGTTTTGAAGGAGTTGAGTTTCGGTTGGTGCTTTATTTATAGAACTGAAAGTGAGTGTGGGGGTTACATCTTTTCCAGGCATGGGGCCTGTGACGTGCATTTCGCTTTGGGGTCCTGCATTGATATTACAGTGCAAGGGAGAGGCCATTTTCTCAGCCACATTCTCGTTGATGTTTTCCTCTATGGTTTTTTCATGATGAATATTCATACCAACTTTATTTGGCGTTTCCTTTTCTGTAGGTTGAATTTCCTTTGCATGTGTTGTGTTAATATGGATCAAACATTCACTTTTCTCGCTCATTTCTGTACTCGAGTTGAGGAAAGACGTGTCAGGCTCAGCCCTACTTTCTTTGCCCTCCTCAGCGCTCAACACTTTATGATCATTGTTCACTTTTTCAGTCACAATTATTTCCATAATCGACAAACTGTCCTCTGACACAGAGTTCATAGTCTGCCCACAGGCAAAGTCTTCGTGAACAACTACATGTTGGCTTTCATCTTGCTGTGACTTCATTCTGCCGACGGGTGGATCAGGTTTGTGCAAAAGTGAATCGAATTCCGGTTTTTCAGAGTTTCCATCAAGCTTTACTACTGTGTTTTCTTTGCTGTACATTGATTCCTGATCCTCATTTTGTATTGGTGACCTGATTTCATGATGATCTGCTCGCTGCTCTGCACTCACAGAATGAGCTGGTGTCATTTTCATCTCTGCGGTTGCAACGTCTGGAGCGGGGTCATCACTCTTCATGGGAGGTTCCTTCTGCGTTTGATTGACAGTTTGATTGCCGATTCCTTCGGAACTGAGAAGTGCCTTATCCTCCATTCCTGATGATCCTATCTGATATTTTGTTTCACTACTTGATATTGAGATTCCATGGCCTCTGAGGACATCGTGCGATGGAGGTTTGTGCTTTAAATTAAGACTCTGACTAGCTGGTAGTGGTTTGGTGGCGGTTTTCGAAGTGAAGACCTCTTGTAAAGCGAAACCTTCCATCAGCGCTGAAATCTCTTTCTCAGCATGAGCTTTTATTTTGGAAGTCAGAATCTCTTGTTTTGTCTGAGCTTTCTCTTTAGGAGGCATTGCTTTCTGGCGCTCTGATTTATGTTTTGTTTCAGGATTTTGAATGGACTCCGAACGTGTCTGTTGTGAAACAACAGAATGAGAATAAGGATCAGAAGATTCAAAATTTTTAATTGTGCCTTCCTTTCCACTATCCGAAACTGTGCCACCAGTTGCTCTTTTATCTACACAAGGGGGTAAATTGTCTGCCTGAGATAATTTAAATTCATTGGATGACTTGCTGTAGATATAAAGACTCTCATTTCCTTTATTGGAATTTACTTTCTCATTATTATTGAATTCACCACTGACTGTGAGATCATCATCATTTGATTTGTTGGTATTAACTTCTGTAATATCAAGTGGCAGCGCTGATGGAGTTAAATTGCCATCTTTTGAAGAAATGCTTGCCCCGGATGACATTTGGTGTGAAAGTGAATGAGTAAAGCCATATTTCTCTCTCAGACTTTGATAATAATCAGCCCCATCTTCTTGATGATTTGAATTATTTGCTATTTTTGCAGCTGAATTGTCCTCATGTTGCTGCGCTTGTGCTGTCTGTTGTAAGAGAGTCACCTCTGCATCTTCTTTTGCAACACCTTCCTTCTTTGTGATAATTGTACACCTGACTTTTCCCTTTTTGTCCCCCTTCATCTTTTCCTTTATCTTTGCTAGCTCCGCTTTAGCTTTGGCTAACTCCGTTTTTACTTGGTCAACTTTTGTGGGCTCACTCTTGACATGAGGTTGCGTTGTTTGGATTGCTGTGAGCTTTGATGGTCTTTGCTTCATGTGTTGGTGTTTTACCAGTGCGACTTTAGCTAGCTCCATATTGGTTAGCTCCATCTTAGCCAGTTCTGCTTTTTTGGCGACAGAATTTGCCTCTTTGGCCTCATGTTTCACTTCTTTAGGTTGAGTGTTAACTTGTGATTCTTTCTCAGCTTTCTTTTCATTTTGCTTGTGTCTTCCACTGTGCGCTTCCATTTGTGTGCTAGTGTGTTCCATTTTAGCTTGTCGTAGAGCTTTTTCCTTGTTGACTTGCGTTGCTACAGTTTCCCTAACATTTTTCGCTTTGACTTCCTCCAACATTTTCTGTTCACCTTCTTGATTAATTCGACTCAGTTTTGCCTCAACCTCATCCAGTATGTTGTTTTCATTTTGAGATGGTTGAGTTCTTTCTGACTCTAATGGTCTCTGTTTGCCTTGAAGTTCCTCCAAGTCAGCTTGCTCGGTATGGACTCGTTCACTCTGCACCTCTCTCCTCTGTTCAACTTGTACTTTTGCATCATTGTTTTCTTCGTTACCATCTCCAATTTCAGTTGACGTTCTTGTTGGTTTCTCACTGGTTCTGTCTTTTTGTTTTCCATCATATTCCAATTTGACCTTGACTGCTGTTATTTCATCAGGCGCTGGTCGCGATGGTTCTGCTTCAACTGAACCAGTCTGCCACAAAGCACACTTGTCTTTGGGATGTCCCCCATGAGCACACTGTGGAACTTTAGACTGCTCTGTTTGTCTCTGCTCTGATTGTATTTGTTTTAATGTGTTTTTCAAAGCCTTGACCTCAACCAATTGTCCGTCCTTCACTTGGTGGACCCTTTCTGTCCTCTCATGGACTGATAGCGAACTGTTTTGGCTATTTGATGTGTTGTGTTGCTCGGCCACTTTTGGCATTTCTTCCTCGAATGTTTGTGCACATACTTTTACTTTTCTCTGACTTGTTTCTTGATTTTGCATAGATTCGTCAATTTCTTGATTTACCATTGCATGATTGTTCTGTTGTAAATAATTCTCTGTCCTGTCTTGTCCACAAAATTTAGAGTTTTTAACAGGCATATTACACTGTGGGGTCCTTTGTGCTTCTTTTATTGTTTCCTGCTGACCCTCTCTTCTTTGGTCATCTCTTGGTGAAATGATCTGTTTTTCAGTGATAGTTTGTGGGTTAGCCTGAACACGTGGTTGTTTTTCTTTTAAGGGTGTGGTGTCGTGTTTCCATGGAGGTACAACTCCTTTCAGAGCCAATTGTTTTGCATTTGGGGTATTTGGAGGTCCCCACCATTCTTTTGAAGCATTACTATAATTGTGTTTGTTCTGATTTAATTGAACCACCTCAGTAGAATGGCTCGAATCTGGTTCTTTCAAATCGGTACTTTCCCTTGGTAAATAGTCTGTTACTTGATTGTTTCCACCCATTTTCCAGTTCACGTCCGTGGTGTTAAAAGGTGATTTATTGGTGAACACCTCCCCTCTCACCACCTGATTGCCAGCCACGTCCTGTTTAAAGGGAGAATATAATGGCAGCTCTTCACTAAAATTCAAACCAGTAGTCAAACGATTGCTGGTGTCATTTTCATGTTGTCTCTGAGCCATCTTGTAGTCTGAAACTTGCCCGGTGTTGGGCTTAGAATTCAATGGAGGAGAAAAAAGTCTGGGACTGTGATAGGGTTTAACATATTGATGTAAGGCTCCATCAGTCCAGCTGGATTCTTGGATGTCTCCTTGTAAATGCTCAGGTATATCAATCACAATGTCTTTGGATTCCCAGAGAGGAAGTTCTCTGCTTTTTTCTGTAGTCTCGCAGCCTTTAAATTTGGCAGGACTGTATGTACTTTTCACTCTTTTTCTGTTATCTTTGAGATTGAAGAGGAGACTGCTGGCTCTGGATTTGTAGCTTGACATCCTTACATCAGGCATAGCCCCCCTGCTTTCGGCACGCACCGGAGGATGTTCCATAACTTGGGAATAACCTACCTTCTGTTTACTTTCTGGTGGCTCTGCTTGGGACATTGGAACCTGTGGCGAAAGCATATGACCATCAGTGGATAAAGTACTGCTGCTTTGATTTGCAGCGTTTCGGTCCGTTGTGACTGGCAATAGAGTGTCATTGCTCCGAAAAGCTCCACGTCTATTATCTGTCATCCCTGCATTGTTGTTTTGCTCTGTCATTATTTTGATCTGTTGATGGAGGGCGTCAACAGAGCTGAGGGTTTCCTGAACATGACGACACATCTCTACAGTGGGCGATGCTGTTGATGGCCGTCTGGTTGGAATTCTGTTTGTTCCAAGACTTTGTGTCCTCATCCTGTGGGGATAATGTACGGCCTGCTCAGACTCACAGCGCTTCTCCAAGGCAGATGCTTTCTGCAACCTTGTGGATGTTGAAATGGATTGTAGAGGATGGTTGGGAACCACAGGGGCCATCATCGTACTGTGGTGCTTACCACTCCGCTCTTGAAACGTAGAGGAAGCATTCATTTGGGGTTCCAGTGAAAGCTCCTTGTACATGGGTGTGTGGTTCCACTTAGGGAACTCTGAACAGTGCATATGTCTTGAAACTTCTCCTTGTTGGAACCGGTTATGGTCTCGCCATACTCTGAAGGGACTGAATTCGCTGTGTATAAAGAAGTTGGTGTTACAGTCCACTTGTGTCATCATCGTATAGTTATTGTGGGACAATCCCATAAAAGAGGAGGCAGCGTTCATGTGAGGCACCCCAGCTGCTTCAGTGGGGTAAAAGTTGGTGTCCTGGGATGAGAAATGGCCAACCATGGAAAAATGACCATTGGTAACATTTTGCTGATATGGTGAAGGCATGTTCATCAAATCTGGTCTATTCCAACGTGCCTCATCATTCCACTCTCTGAGTTGATCCTCCATAACTGCTCCACCCTCAGAGTTAAATGCTCTGATGAGTGAAGAAACTCTGGAACGGCTTCTTTGATGCCGCAAACTCAAATCTGTGGCTCCGTTGCTAAAATAGCTAAGTGGGTCTTCTTCAAGAGATTTATCCTCCTGGGTCATCCCCATTAAGGAGTGTTGGAATGTGGCAGAAACCCTCCCCGGTGCCCCGTCTCCGCAAACATCCCACTGTGGATTTCTGTTCAACTCTGCCCCATACATTCCGTCATGAGTCCAATCATGTTCATACTGCTGCACCATCAGGCTGAAGCTCTCATGAGCTGTTCTTTTAAGCTCCTCCCTGTCACCATCCTCATTCTCCAGCCCACTCGGACTGAAGGCGCGCTGTCTGTCCCTTTGAAGGCAAGGTGAGGATGGACCAAGGTCCGAGTCATTGTAAATGGCCTCTTCTCCAACGCAGAGACTCCTGAAGGCTTTGTCTGTGAGACTACGGACTTCACGGTCCGTCTCGTCCAATAAGGATCCACCGCTTGATGTGTCACTAAAACCTCCGTCGCTGTGCTTCCGATGTCCGCCATTCTTTCGGCTCGAGCGGCGTTTCTCCACTGATGTCATAATGCAGGATCGCCAACAGTGAGCTGAGTCGTTCACTCCAACTGTCACCTCAGCAACTCATACAATGTTTCTTTGCAGATCTTAAGAACCCCGCCTTCAGGGTCCCAGCTTTTAAATAGCCGTGCATCTCAGTTGTGCTTCATCCGAACAAATCTTGCTGATTCCCTACAAAACACAAGAATTTGTATTATCATTTTAACATCAGATAATTTCTTAATTAAGTGAATTGTGCCTTTTGGTCTCATGCAACCAGTTCATTTTCTTCAGCAATGGTCTCGGATTTCAACACCATTCATTTCTTAGCAAACTGTGACAACAGAATTTTGTCAAAAGTAGGATTACAGATACACATATTGACATGATTCCAGGAAGAGACACAATTACAGTGAAGCTAATACTGCTTCTTAAAATAAACCATAGAACAGGACACTATTGAGGCACACACATGGGCAGGCAGGGCCAATGAGACACACACCAGAGCAACACATGAATCACAAATTAAAATCCCTTTCAACCAAAGTCCAAAAATCACAAAATCAACATTGCAGGCAGGAAATGCGACTTGTGTTTTGTTCTACACTGATGTGGAGCTACGACTCCATTTCCAATTCCTGTACTGTATGTGATTCCCAAAACAGTCTTGTAAATCCCTCCGCTCAAAGAGTCTGACCTTGCCCGACGTGTTTGTGAAAATTTGCATCGTTGCTATGCGCCCAAAAAACATGCTCACGTGAGTTATTTGGGGAAGTCAAATTGTCTGCACCACCCTCTTGCCCTTAAATAACCCTCTACACTGCAATCTTTTTACCATTTACAAACACAGGCTTTTTGTAAGATATATTTATTGATTGAAAAAAGATAATGCATTCGTATGTTTTGCTATATTTAAGGTATACTTTTGATCGACAAAAATGTGTGTTTTTTTTAACTAATGTTCAAGTGTTGGAAAAATATTAGCATCTTAGTTTTCTTACAGTCTCAAGTAATGACATTCCGTTAACTCACGTTAACTGATCTTGCATCAGCCGCTTATTTATTTTGCCATGTTCTGATTGACTTTGCACATATTGCTAATTACACATTAGAATTCAAATACAATTCATACTTGGACATGGATTTTTTTTTTTTTAAATTTTGAATTAATTGAACATGCATGTTTTTGGCGTGTCGGTCAGAGGAAGCGGGAGTACCTGGAGCAAACTCATACATGCATGAGAAAAACATGCAAAATATGCAAAGAAAGTGAAGAAACCAACATCCAAACTGCAATTTCAGAACTATGAGGAAAACATGATAAGAACGAGAATGCCATGATGTCCTCACTGAAATCCGTGACTAACTTTGGCTAAACAACATCATGTGCTTCAACTTAACACAACACTTGTTTCTCTGCAGTAAAGTAGTCACAGTGACTTGTTTATAAAAGTATTTATCAAACGTATTTTTAGATTTTCAAATAACATTCAAAATCTGCCATAGCTGCCCTGATTTTCTTGGAAGAGGGTCACAAATTGTGAGCAATAGCATCACATGCGGTTGTGTTTTATTTTAGCTGCCAAACTGGGGAGAACCATCATCAACAATCATTAATATCTTCTTACCTGGAAGGCATCCAGAAGTATTTAAAGCACATCTAAGCTCTACAGCTGTGCTGCCATGGTGCACCTACATCACATAGAATACTTTAAACGTGCATTTTTCCACATCGTTTTAAGTACAAAAGAATAATAGGCAGACAATATCACGCGACAAGAAAACACAATTAAATGTTGCCGTCTTCTCCGGTCGCTGTTGAAAGTGAAGATATTTTTTGGGGCATGAAAATCAAGTCGTGAGTTGGGGGTCATGTTCATTTTTGCATGTGACTGGTTTATTTTGGTGTGGCGAGAGGCCCCTGACTTGAAAATGGAACACTGCAGTGGCAGTTCCAAGCATGGACAGAACTGTAACAAATATGTTGTTTCGAGTTAAGATATATGATTGTATTTAGTATTTCTAAATTAGCTCTGATGGTTATCAATGTGGTTACAGTACCCGTATTCAAATACCAACATTTAGATCATGTAGAATAAAAGATATTTTCAGAGCTCTACATTGTCCTTCTAACCATCTATTACATTAAAGTGCCTTCAAGAAAAAAGTGAGGTCTTACCTTCCAAGGTGATATTCCATCTTTTATTTTATGCCTTCCAGTGATTCCAAACTCCCCCCACCCCAAAACAGGCCTTGAAGGGAGTCCTGCCTTATCCCCTCTCTGGCCGCACCGTCTTCACCCTCTAAACCAAGTCCTCTATGAAGTTCGGTTGGGGACCCTCGCTCGGGCGCCGGTTTCGGGCCGCGGCGCAAACAGAAATAGAGGAGCAGTCCCAGAGAGAGTTTCCATCATGGGGGGACAGGACGGGGGGCTCGGAGCTGGCGTGCAGGTCTACGAGATCCTGTGGTGTCGAGTATCACATGGATGAAACAAACAGCCTGGCAACTATTTTTAAATGAGTACAGCTCACTCAGGAATGAGCTTTGGGCAGACGAGGAAATATTCACCGTGGATACATTTATGAGGAGATATGATTTAAAAATAAATAAGTACATTTTCCAGCAGTTATTTGGGGGTTTGTGACATAAACGGCTTCACACTTAGAGCGTCAATTGCTCATGTATACAACCCAATAGAGCCCGCATACAGTATCCTCTGTCTTCCATTTTCCAGTAGACCTTATCATGAGCCAATCTACCCGACTACAGCTTCTCTCACCCACCTCGAGCCGAAAAGGCCATGAGGGAGGAAGGAGGGCGGGCTGGTGCCCTCCCACAGCCCGCTGCTATAATAAGAGATTGCAGCAGCAGATTGTTTCCTGAGATTCTTGGCGGGTGCACGGCTCGGCCCGGCCTGGCAGCGTGATGGACACGCACACATGGGCTGCCCGGGCCACACGCTCTCACTGCGCATTTACTACTACGTGTACTGTACTCGTCGGTCTGCAAGTATTTGGACATGGTCGGTATTTTGGATGTGGGCTGTTAGGGGATTGAGCCTTTAGCCTTTCACCACCACAAGTGAGTTTCAAAATAGGACATTCAAGAATGACAAACATGCACACAAGGCACACAAAGTGAGAAAGATTTGGTTTTCGGGTGATATTTCGGGATGATCGTTTAATTGCATTGTAACCTTTTACAGCCAAGTGAACTTAATTTGAATTTTTTTTTTTTTTGATGGGTTCAATGTGTTTATACTTTTGGTCCAACTTGCTGTTTTCTAATAAGAATTCAACCAGCAAAATTCAGTTAAAATTGGTATTCCAAAAGTCCTCTTCAACACGGCGTCCATATTTTGACATCCTCAGCCTTAAGACTGCACCTAACAATTGATAAACAAGACCTCACTTTCAAGATGCTTCAAACGGGGAGGTGGCGACTGTGCTTAGCATGTCAGAATTTCATCAGCAGGTCACAGCTGAAACACTGGAAGAGTCACAGAAAGGCATCTATCTAATTCATCTTTTTTTCCCCCCATAAAACATTTTGTTTTGAGATGACTGACAATGTTCTGTTCTGTTCTTTAAAGTTAATCCGGATGTAAACGTTACCCCCCGCCCCCCAAAAAAAGACATGTATACATACAGTGTCTATTTTTATCATATGTTCTTTCGCTTTATTTAATTGACAGAAGGACTATTCATGGTATTACCTTTTAATATAAAATATGATAATAAATTAAGAGCACATTTAATATTCTTATCATTATATATGATTATAATACATATTAGTGATATATTATGAAATAGATATTGTTATAACACATTAATATGCAGTCTATACACCTATATATCATAAAATCATATTTCTATTATATTTATATTTTGTGTGTGTGTGTGTGTGTGTGTGTGTGTGTGTGTGTGTGTGTGTGTGTGTGTGTGTGTTTCCTTAACCTACTGTGTGCTATTTGGAGGAAGAAGAGTCCTGCACACTAGTTCCCTCTAGTGGAAAAATTCCAATCAAAGACTCCAATCTTCATATTTCTTAGTCCAAGTGTACATTTCATCTGATTTTGTTGCAAATGTTTTCAGTTTGATCATTGATCTCAAATGTTGACTGGGAGGCCCTCAGCTTGCTGAGTCAGAAGAAATGAGCTGGAGTGGCACACGGCCCACCTGCACATTAGTGGCTGCAGCATTAAAATCTGCTTCGTTTGGAATACCACAATTCAGAGATGATCTTAATTGATCCTAATTGATTGGGTTATTGATCAGGTCTGGTGCAGGAATTAAAAGCAGACATGGTAATATGGAGCGGGCAGTTTCTAACCCCGGAGATGGGCTCTGCATCATGAACTGTATTGTCAGTTCAGGTGATGTGTGTGTGTGTGTGTGTGTGTGTGTGTGTGTGTGTGTGTGTGTGTGTGTGTGTGTGGTTTCAGAACACATTTGACCACATGTCTGCAAAAATATTTCATTACTGCAACAAAAGAAGGCCATTAACTGCAATGTAAGAGCTTCTATCAGCCACATTCTTCCCATGTTTGTCTGCTTTTCTGGCTCCTCTCCAACTAATTTGATATAACAATGCAACACACAACGACTTGTACAATCATCAATGATGCCACATGCTGCCGCTGAATGTCAACACCAACTTGACTTCTTTATGAAATATTAAAGCCGGGAATTACGGGCAGAACTTAATGATGATCGGAGTCATTAGAACTCCAGCACGCTTTGTTTTGGCTTGTAATGATTCAATTCCACAGCAACTGTATTCAATTTTTGGGAAGCCGTAATGTGTTTTTCTACATCTTTTGTGAGAATGGGATTGGATTGCGGTGTACAGATTGGTGCTTTTTTTTTAACCATTTGTTTCAGGATATTAGCTGCCATGCCACTCTCCATGATTTTTTTTTTAACCATTTGTATCAGGATACTAGCCGCCATAATGCGTGTGTGTGGGTGTGTGTATGTATATGTAAATATATATTATGCTCAGTAATTTATCATTTGCATTTTTTCTTCACTTAGTATCATTGTAGTTATTTATTTATATCATTTAGATTTATAGTCATAGAAGTATGACAAACACATTCACAAATTTGTATCCTCTCCTTTGACTTGAATATTCTTTTTTTAAAGAAAAGCAATTAGAGACGATCCACCGACCGGCTTGATTGGTCTATGCATTTGAAACCTGCACACAGATGCGCCGTCGCCATGTACAATGTGACAACACTTCTGACGTGAGCTCTCTTCCCCTTGTCTCAGCAGGGTGTCACTTCATCAATTATTGAAGCTCTACTTCACGGTAATACATAATTTGTCATCAATTATTCACGATAATGTGTGTGCAGTTGACTTAATTGTGTTATTGACTTATCAAAAGTCATTTCCTGAAAATCCTCCAGGATGGGGATCTGTTCCATCACGGGGAGGGAGGAAGTGATCAAATAATCACAATAATTAATACAGTAGACATCGGCTGTTATGTGAGGTCATCTTGTTCAAGTGGACCACGAATACGCTGAGATGATCACATTTAATGGGCTTTATTAAGAGGCAAGAAGAAGATTCCTCCAAGTAAATGAATGATAAACATCGGGTGCGATGCTCTGCGGGCTTTCAAGATGAGCTGCTAAATAATGGATAAGAACAGATGGCTGCAGTGAGAGCAACATGAGCGCCTACATGTTAAATTGTTTTAAAGAACATGTCACAACAGCAGCCGAGCTGTGTTGGCTGTCTGTCGGTCATCGCGCTAACAAAAGAGAGAGACACCCGGGCTGCTTTTCACTTCCCCTCGACTGGCACGTGGACACAGTTCCGCTGATGACGGCTGATTGGATATTACTGTCTTTGATTAAAGTGCACGTTCACTTCAAGATCAACGATGATTGATTTGTGGAAACACACACACACACACACACACACACACACACACACACACACACACACACACACACAAAAAGGCAGCAAAAGCGCTGCCGTTAAGTTACTCTTTACATGCATAGACATTTACAATTTTCTTCACTTAGTATCATTGTAGTTATTTATTTATATCATTTAGATTTATAGTCATAGAAGTATGACAAACACATTCACAAATTTGTATCCTCTCCTTTGACTTGAATATTCTTTTTTTAAAGAAAAGCAATTAGAGACGATCCACCGACCGGCTTGATTGGTCTATGCATTTGAAACCTGCACACAGATGCGCCGTCGCCATGTACAATGTGACAACACTTCTGACGTGAGCTCTCTTCCCCTTGTCTCAGCAGGGTGTCACTTCATCAATTATTGAAGCTCTACTTCACGGTAATACATAATTTGTCATCAATTATTCACGATAATGTGTGTGCAGTTGACTTAATTGTGTTATTGACTTATCAAAAGTCATTTCCTGAAAATCCTCCAGGATGGGGATCTGTTCCATCACGGGGAGGGAGGAAGTGATCAAATAATCACAATAATTAATACAGTAGACATCGGCTGTTATGTGAGGTCATCTTGTTCAAGTGGACCACGAATACGCTGAGATGATCACATTTAATGGGCTTTATTAAGAGGCAAGAAGAAGATTCCTCCAAGTAAATGAATGATAAACATCGGGTGCGATGCTCTGCGGGCTTTCAAGATGAGCTGCTAAATAATGGATAAGAACAGATGGCTGCAGTGAGAGCAACATGAGCGCCTACATGTTAAATTGTTTTAAAGAACATGTCACAACAGCAGCCGAGCTGTGTTGGCTGTCTGTCGGTCATCGCGCTAACAAAAGAGAGAGACACCCGGGCTGCTTTTCACTTCCCCTCGACTGGCACGTGGACACAGTTCCGCTGATGACGGCTGATTGGATATTACTGTCTTTGATTAAAGTGCACGTTCACTTCAAGATCAACGATGATTGATTTGTGGAAACACACACACACACACACACACACACACACACACACACACACACACAAAAAGGCAGCAAAAGCGCTGCCGTTAAGTTACTCTTTACATGCATCGACATTTACAATAAGTAAGCATGAGCCCACTGAAGTGGCATATTCACATTATCCATTGGCTATTCCTGGAAGTAACACATGGGGTGACTATAAAAAGTCTACACACCCCTGTTTGAATGCCAGGTTTTTGTGACATTAAAAAAAAGCAGACAAGATAAATGGTTTCAAAATGTTTGTTCACCATTGATGCAACTTGAAATATAACCTCTGCTTAAGTTAATTTTAAAAAGGAAATCTTTGAGCGCAAAGTCATATGAACGACTGACTCGGTTGTTGTGTACACTCCCTCTTAACTATCGCTGTGGTTGTGTTCAGAATTCAATTCAAACTCAAATGAGAGACAGCTCACTTTTTCTTCAGCTGGACCAAGGATCTTTAGTCAAAGTGAAATGAATTATGAGCAGTTCCAAATAACAATTCGTATTTGCACAAAACCTTCAGGCTTCCACTAGAAAGCGTCAACATTTTCCGGAAACACCCGCGAGGACGTCTGGACTTCACGTGGGTTCATCAGAGGCAACCGAAATGGTGGCAGGTGTGTTCTGACTCCCTTGCTTGACCCCCTTATTGACTTGACTTGCTTGACTCCTTTAATGTCTAAACACAACCACATTCCCAGTTCGAAGAGGGTGCGCACACTTGTGCAACCACATTCTCCAAGTCCTTTATTTTTACTGCTCTCCAAAAAAAATAATAATAATTTGAGTCGTACAGGTCATGCACATTAATGGTGGAAAGAATTCTGAAAAGATTTATCCTGGTCTCTTTTTTTTTTTTTTTGGAAAAACAAATGGCATTTGAACATGGGGGTGTAGACTTTTTATATCTACTGTACAGTTAAGCCCCAAATGATTCATACACGTATACATTTTTATTCAATCAATTAGATATTGGCTATTTATATTTTAGCTGGGAAAGATACCAGAAAGTGGTAAAAGGCTGTAAGATGATTTTTTTTTCCTAATTCTACCAAAATGCACTTTGTCAATAGCTGCATAAGGAGTGTTTAGGTGTTAATAATGTTCTCGCTCAGGGCTTCCTGCCAAAGTAAAACCCAGCAAATGTAGCTTGAAAGTCCACGTACAAATAAATACTGATAAAGAATTCAATGAGTCAATTCAAAAAATATGAAATGAAGATTATAGTCTCAAAGTGACTCAAATAATATTTCAGGTCGTCTAACGGCTGTCCGCAAAAACGTTTTGTTTCCCAAACCAGTAGTTGAAAATCCTTTCTGTAGATTATTCCAGAAATGAATCCGGAAACATGAAATGGTGCAGCTAATTGTGCTTGAAATGTCAATGAAAAATAGTAGCTTTTGTTTTTCTAAAAATTAATCATATCCCGAATGCTATCGATTTTGGTAAAACCGAACGTAACGGAGAATATTCTATTCCACTCTACATTTCGAACACTGAATGCGCATGCAACGAGAGAAAGGGTATGAATAATAATCATCATTGTAACAATCGGATGTCATTTACAAGCCCATTTCAACACTTTACCTCAAAATGTGTCCAGCGTTTGAATCATCTCGGACTTAACTGCATCGGTCCATCAAAGAGTGCAGCAAAACGGATCCCAATGTGTGTGCATTTGTGAGGTCAACAAGTTCCCTCGTATGTTTGTCACAAACAGTAATATGAATTCTTCAAAAGAGTCCAATAAATAGTTTGATCTCGTGCACGCTCCATTGCTGCGCTTCGACGAGCCCTCAGCTGTCACTCGGGTGTTGTCCACATGCTCACTTCTTCTCCACGCCGTCCTTGTTGGAGCAATGAGGGTGCTTCTCCGGGGTGCTCCCCATCACCTTCGGGGTCAGGTTGGGGCTGGAGGTGTCCCCGCCTCTCGTCCCGCCTGCTTCCGCCTGCCCCGGAGCGCCCGCGGGGGGCCTCACCATGCCCGCACCGGACGCCGAGGCGGCGGCGGCGGCGCTGCCGAGCAGGTTGGCCGACTGCAGCACGGCCTCGGAGTGCTCGCGGGCCTTCATGCGGAGGGCGGCCACGCTGGCTGTCCGGTTGCCCTGGCAACCGTAGGGAGGCAGGAAGGACAAGCCCATGGGGTCCGAAACGCAGCAGGAACACAAAGCGTTACCTGAAAGGCAAACGCGTTCAACGTTGTGGAATGCTGACGATCGGAATTTCGATGATCGGTGTTGTGATGAGGATCACCTTTCAAAGTGGCGACCTGAGAGAGCGCCTGAGCATAAGTGGCGGAGTTGAGGAGGGTCCCTGGTAGACACGATGGAAAGAAGGGACCACCGGGACCCACCGGCCTGTTCATACTGCCCAAAACAAAGAATCTCCAGGTAACACACACTTTCATATGCATACTCAGGGAAATACTTTACATTAAAAAAAAGTGTCTTATGTTGTTATTTCTCAACTTTAGATTATTAATGTGAAGTGTCCGATTACACCCATCCGCATCCATTTTCTTGTCTCAGTGGCATTTGGTACCTGAAACTTCAGTAGAGACCGACCTGACTCAGTCCACCTCGAATTTTTTGTTTTTTTGTGTTTTGTTGTGTTATTTTGACTTCAAGATGGCGCCGCGAGAGTGGCTGCCTTTCCAGTAGCTCCAATTTATTTTGTTCTTCTACTTCTTCCTCTCATAACTTTGCTGCTGTGAAGTGGGAATTTCTCCATTGTGAGACTATTAAAGATTTTCTTATCTTATCTTATCTTAATACCACCACGATCAGGTCACGATTATAGAAAACATTCAAATCAAATAAAAATGCCGTACACTGTACAATAATGAAAAACGTGTGAAAGTGACAAATGGACCAAGAAGTGTCTGTCGTGTGCTCTCCTTTTTTTTTATCTTTTGTTTTTCACATAGTTGAACTAGAAAGCCATTTGTAAGAAGGGGAGCCAGTGTTTGTTTTTTTGGGGGGGGTTATTTGTTTGTTTGATTTGAATTTGAAAGAAAGTGTCACATTGTTCATTTAGTCTCAGTTGCGATGGTCAGAATTCCGGATTCTGAAGGGTTTGGAAAATTATATTGACATGGCGGCACATCAAGGCTAAAATCTGATTAGACGAGAAAGAAAAAAAAGTCGAGCACACGTGCATACTGGAAGCAGTGGAGCGCAGTGAAATGCGACGAAACAAAGACAATAAATTCATACAATTTCATGAAACAAGAGAATTGATGTTGTAAAAGTATGCCAGTGATTCTGAGAGCGTTTAGGGGTCAGAAGAAAAGACCTTGCTGGCCTGGATAACTAAGTATGTCGTTTCATCGACGCCAATGTTCACACACAGACATGAAAGAGTTCACTGTTGAACCCTTCTGAAATCTGTTGCTCACCAAAACAGCAAGAGCAAGGCAAATAAAGGAAATTAATACTCTCCACAGTATTAAAGATGAGATGATTCGGTGGATATTTGACCTTTAACAACAGTAGCGTTCTGTCGACTTTGTACAATGTAGTGGACATCCACATCGCTGTGCCAGGGGGAGATACAGGAAATATTTGTTCAGGCTGCCTTTGCTCTTGCCATTTTACTCCATTTCTTCCATGAGTCATTTTTATTTTTAAAAATTTGACCTCTACTGAACGTTATTGTCATGTTACCGGAATGTTGTTTGAGGTGATCAAACAAGTGCGGCCTCCGTCTAAATAGGCAGCTGTCCGCCATCTGCAGTTGAGTAAATAAATTCCCTCCTTCCACTTTTTTTTCTGAAATATGGTCTATATAAAAGAGCGACCAGCTAAAAATATGATGCAGCAACTACTAGTGAACTCATTTTGTATAGATCATCCACTGGCAACTAATTACATTTTAGTGCAGAGCGAGGACGTTTTCCTAAACAAGGCGACTTTACAGTCATTTCCCAGTTTAATAATGCATGACGCTTCAAGAGAAAATGCTTGGATATGCACGATGTGGATCAAGCATACAATTTAGTGTTGATCCAGTTTAATTCCGTGCTTAAATGCTACGGGTTTAAAAGCAACATCGGGCTTTTGATCGCGTTGTTCTGATCTCACCTCTGCTGCATGTCCAGCGGTTCTTTGTGCTTCCTGCTGGGCTCCACCGGCGACTGAGAGTTGATGCCGCGCGCCGGAGTAGCGGCCTCACTCAGCTGCTCTTTGCCTCCTTCTGAGTCCGTGCTGCCTCGTTCTGTCTTCCTCCACTTGGCCCGCCGGTTTTGAAACCAAACCTGCAGTGACACAATCAATGACTTTCTGATCACGTAAAGACTTAAAACGACTGTTACTGTACAACGCGTCCACAGGGGTGGGTAACCTCTGACCTGTGGATCCGATTAGACCACAGCAGTTTTTGATCCAACACACCAAGAATTTTTTTTTTTAATGAATTATTCAGTCACTGCCTAACAGTTACAACACGACCAGAAAACATATTGCTTACAATATATGCTATGCGGGTTTTGAATTAAAGTACGTTGTAAATATAGTATATATATGTGTATGTCAAATAAGTAGTCTGTCACATATACATAATGTTATACGCCAAATTTGAGAAATATAGTTGAATATGTGAGTAGGTATGTCCAATACAGGCAGTTTAGTCTGGTATCTGAGTAAGTCATATCAAAGCTATTTAGTCCATTGTAAAAAATGGGTCAAGTGTAGGCAATATGGTGTAGCGTATGTTAAATATAAATAATACTGTGGATGGTACAAGTATGTCAAATATCAGTGTGATAGTGTACTAATTGGTCAAGATCAACATACAGAAAAAAATAAACATTTTTTGGCTCACGTTAGCATCTAATGGGCACATGGTGGACGTTCACCGAGCAACATGATTCAGTTAGCAAGATGGATGTGCACTGTGTGACAAATGGATTTCAAATTTCTGAATGTTTTGTCTTTTTTTTTTTTTTTTTAAATATGTGATATTTCACGACGACAGAGTGGACATGTTCAGCTTGACGATATCCAACCACACACAATATGATATATCTGACCACGACGACTCATTTTATTTAGTATGTGTCAAATATGTCATTTGTTGTAGTAGCTGTTTTGAGTTTAGTGTGTCACATTCGTCACGTCTGTCAAGTTGCAGCAGCATGCGCGGTCAAGATGCAAAAGTTGCAGCTAGCACGTGTGGGAACAAGTAGTGGTGGCATCTTTATCGAATGAAGGTCATAGCCTATAAGAACATTTAATTGAGCCATTTTTCATTATCATATTTTAATGACTTCCCACTGACAGTTGTGCAGCCCGAGAGAGGCGGCCATGAAGTCGTTTATTTGCCCATTTAGGGATTGTTTGACAACATCACATTCGATTAGGAGCACATTCGAGCGGGCATTAATCATGCCGTGCCAATGAATGGAGGTTACCTCTCCATTGTGTCATGTCAACAAGGCCGAGCAAACATGCAGACGGGACAACAATGCAGCCGACAGACTTATCTCACCCCTGCACCTTCCTGCTACAAGTCAAGCCCCCCCCCCACACACACACCCAATGCGAATCGCACACCCCCACAGCCGCCACCTCTCTCAATGGCCTATAATTGCTCCATTCATCTCCATTTGCAGCGTGCTCTTAATGCGGGGGAGCCCCATTGACACTCAACAAAAAAAAACGGGAGGAAGGATGGAAGGAGGGTGGGGGGACAACACTGCAACAGAAATGACATTTATTTCCCAATAATAATGCAACTTTAATATGCCTGGTCGCACAGATTGAATAATAGCAATGTGATAATCGGATTAGGGGGAATAATTTGTTGACGCGTCCTGATTTACAACGCTGGATTCCATTATCGGACCTGAAGCTAAATGGGATGAACCCAACCATTATGTCTCTTGCAATTACATGCAAAAAGCAGGAAGTGACGTAACGCGATCATTTTTTTGCATGCTGACGTTTGTCTCGGAAATGGACTCACACTTGACAAATTACACAACAACATTAAGGCCGCTGATCATGCATGATGAATCAAAGTTAGGTCCCTTATTAAATTAGAGGATTGATAACGACACAATGGAAGCCGAGACCCACCTGCACCCTGGCCTCGGTCAGGTTGATCTTCATGGCCAGCTCCTCGCGCGTGAACACGTCCGGGTAGTGAGTCTGGGCAAAGACCGCCTCCAAGGCTTCCAGCTTCCAGCGCACGATTACACACACACACACACACACACACACACACACACACACACACCACCACACACACACACACACACCCACACCCACACACACACAC